CAACAAGCCTTTTCATAGCCCATTTGTCATCCTCATTTGAAAATATGTGCAAGAACAATTAAGATCCCTCCTGAGCTCTGTGCAGCAGTTTCCCAGCTCTGGAGCCTGTGAATAAACTTGGACCCATTTAAACTGGCCTTTATTCCAGAGAGCAATTCATTCCAAGTGTAGCTTGCCTCAATGCCTGCTTAATAAAAGCTTTTTTGTTTAGGTTTTGGTGCACAACATCATGTGGTAGATAATTTGAATGTGGTTTACCTAGCCTTTATTACTTGATTGCATATTTTCATTTATCGTATTTCCACTTATCGTTAATTTCATACTATAATCTATGATGCTTTGGATGCCTGGATGTTAATGGAGATTTTTTTTCTGTTTGTAGTGCTTGTGATCATGGATTATCACTTTAATTGTAACTAGGCCATTTAGTCTTTAGTGCTTCTCATATAAATCATGTGTATAGAGATGTCATTTTTACACATTACGCTTTTAAAATATCTGTAAATTTCAATATCAAGTGTGGGGGTGTAACAGACAGAACACTCGCACACATGCTGAGAGGTCTTGGCTATTTACTGGACACCCTCCGCAGAAAAACAGTAAGGGAGCAAGCAAAGTCGAAGTCGAGAGCCTGTAATCAAAAAGGTCCGTAACCGGGGAGATCAATCTGGAGACACAGACTTTACACACGAAGAGGAAGTTGGAGGAGGGGACGGGCCGGGTGGAGGCAGGGCGGGACTAGCGGGCAGGTCGGGCAGGGCAAGCAAGGCGGACCGAAGCTGGAAGGGAGACGCAGCAGAATGCTTAGTGCACCTCAAAGAACACTTGGTAATACCTTGCACTGATCGCAGGACTGGGCAGGGCTTAAATCAGGTGCTGGTGATTATTTTCAGAAATAATGTGCAAGAGAGGCAAACAATCTAAATGGCAACAGTACAGTATATTACAATGATAAATATGAATACACAGGATTACCAAACTGCTGATGCAGCTTGAAGTTTAGCCTCATTATGTTCATTAGATCTGTGCCATGTATCTAAATGCACTACTTTCATTTTCACCAAATATCCTCTGTTTTTTAAAAAAATGTCAGTATTTATGGTGATAAATTGTGGGGGGAATAAAGAAAATATGACAAAATAATGTATGTACGAAGTGGTATATATCACAGAAGTATATCAGCTATACTGATATATGTGTGGTAGGTTGGCTGAAGGGTGACCCGGACAATAACCAGAATTTTTATGAGGCTGGCTAGTTTATGACAAGCCCTGATTCAGAAAAACATCTAAATTCGAGATCAAGATCAAGGAAAAAGGGAAGCATCAAAGGTACCATGCAGAGCAGGGTTGTTGCTTTGAATTTCAGGGTGACGGCTCTCCATGCTCTCCTATGACTGTCCCCGGACCCTTGCCGTGCCTCTTGGGCATTTGTTCTCAAGTGTCATTTGCCTGTCTCTCTCTCTATCTGCATCACACCAATGGCCCTATTTTGCATCAGGTGCAAAGCAATGCCAGGTGTAACGCAAGTGTATTTGTCAGCATGAATCTGATGCAGTTGTCATTTTCCCATCCAACGCCTACATCATCCATCCATCCATCCATCCATCCATCCATCCATCTATCGAAGCTTTTTGGGGGGTGGGGCTTTTATTTTGAACCATTAATTTTGGCAGGAATTTCACTGAATATATATCAGAATAGTGTTAAATTTATCTACATATTACATTTTTATTGTTGCATCGATATATTAATATTTAAACGGTATTTTTAAAAATTGGCATTGGTGTGCTTTCTGGATGTATTACAGATAGATACCCTGAGAAGAACACTGCACTGGATGAGCAGCTATGTGAAATAAATGGATGGATTAGCATTCATGCTAGAACAGATATCATTACCTCTGTAATAATATAATGATATAACTTTCTCATTGATGCTCAGGTATATGTAACATATGGGGTGTCTTACACTCAGGATATTTCAGTTGACTGGATTTACAATCTGTTAAGCGGTCAACATGTACATACACTAATAGCATCATAATTAACGTGCAGTTGAATGCACAGGTGGTTTTATTTTACATTACCAGGTCAGGTTGGGGAGCATGACCATCCATCTGCCGCAGCCAGGTGTTACGTGGGCGTCCCCTTGGCCTGGTCCAGCTGCTTGGGTCCTCAGCATTGAGGATCCTGAGAGCCGGATCACCCTCAGGGAAACGCGCCACATGGCCGTAGTGCCGTAACTGACGCTCCCTCACAATGCAGGTAATGTGCCACTTACTGGACTCTTCTAGCAACCGCTTGTTCGACACAAAGTCAAACCAGCAATACCCAAGGATTCTCTGAAGAGACACAGTACCAGAGGAGTCCAGTCTTTGTCTCAGCTCACTGGATAGCGTCCATGTCTCACAGCCATACAGCAAGACAGGGAGCACCAGGACTCTAAAGACTTGGACCTTCATCCTTCTGCAAAGATATCGGGATTATCAGTATACATTATCAGACTAGTGCAATATTCTTGTGAAGAGCATTTAGTTCCTGCAATCAAAAAGCCCTCAAGGATGCTTACATCTAGCAAACACCAGCATGATTATTTCATTAATGTGAGCTAGAACATATAAGATTTATTTACAGGACAACACTTAGATGAAGACTTTTTAGACAGAGACAATGAATATTATAGGTTATTAAAAGCAGGGGATAGTCTCTGTATACATTTCAATAATATTTAAATCAAACTGTAACAATCATATTGCAGTAATGGAGGCATACGTTGTAGATATAAGAGCTAGTTGTGATGCTTCAAATCCCAGGGTTCACTCATAAACTGTAATCCCACTACTGTAAGTAGCTTTAGATAAAAGTGTCAGATGTGACCTAAATGTGCACAAAACGTTTACAAAGCATATACATTTCAATGTTAAAGAATGATCATAACTCTGTAGAAGCTGCAATATAAACATCAATGCCTTTTATACAAGTTGTTTGGAATGATTCTGTAATTTCACAGCAGCAAAAATATCTGCTTTTTTACACAATGTCCATGGTTAACATGATAGTAATGCATAAAGGCAGGGCTTCTGGTAACAAACACAGCTAAAGCACCTTTCTGATGCTACTTAACAGGTGTAAAACCTTAGGCAGGGAGGCCATAAAGGTTGTCACGTGGCTGTCTACCAGGTAAGATTCACAACACACCGGTGTGTGGGTGTTTGTGTAGGATTAGTGGAGCTCAGGACAGATTTGTTAATTATAGACACTTGCAGGCTAATCATGGTTAGTGGTCAGGTGGAATCATGCAGAACTTTCTTGTGTACAGCAGGAGAGTGAGCAGAGGGCAACAAAACCCAGCAGCAGATGTGCATCCATGTGCTTCAGCAAGCACATATTACGATGCTACATGAAACTCATGCAGAGCTAAGAACCAAATCTTCAGATGTTTATCTAACTGTTTCTGCCAACACAAAGGGGTGGTGTCATATACATGACCTGGCCCATTAATTCTGGAGGGTCACATGCTCAAAAATCACATTCTATGCCATTTTCATATGAGTTGAAAAGTGTGAATTTAATGAGTGAAGAGGGAGTGTATATCGTGTTTCTTTAGCCTTGAGAATCACCTTGTGGAAATCTATTTTGAATACCCTGATGGCTCCATTTCCTATTGAGTAAAAATCCATGGTATCAACCAATTTCTTTACCACAGATTGTTTTTTTTTTCATTCATTCTCTCCCTGTTTTGTTTAAGCAGCCTTGTTGCTATGACAACCTCCCTGGGTTTACTGTGACCCTCTCAAAGGCTTCACTTAGAGAAATTCTGAGATCTGGGAAGGCAGCATAAAATAGGATAATCGCCCTCGATTAAAGGACACTAGGCACCATTTTTTAGGAGTTATTTATCCCGGAAAGGGCTTTGGACTAGAAGAAAAGGGAGCTTGAGTCTCTTTCTCCTACAGTGGGCATGACATCACAAGTCTGAATGGAGTGGTATTCTGGACATGCATGCCACCCCCCCACCCTTGGTTCCGTGGCTGCCAGCTTGGACTCAGCCACTGGCCACAGTAGCCGGAGCCACCATCACAGTTTGAGTGTGAAACAAAGGTCCCTCAGTGTAAACAGGGAAGTGGAGAGCCTCACATGGTGCCAGCCAGAAGCATGGACGGATGCCTTGTCCTTCCTTTCACAGGCTCCTTTTGACTAAATTATATGACCCCTCCTCACAAACACACACACGGACTCTCCAGCAACAACCCCCCCAATGTCTGCTTCCTCCAGTACTTCCTGGATATGTAGATTTCTTCACATACTTTAAGATGACCCTTTCCTCATCATCAGTGGTGCATAATTTACTTTTGTCCTGTAATTATATAACTGGGTGTTACATCTTTATTACTCTCGCAAAGAAGAAACACAAATCTTCATCTTTGCAATTGAAATTAGCCTTATTTATAAACATCAACTTTAAAAACATGAACTTGATATCTTAATATCTACATTCGTTTGTGGAACAATGTTGGTCAAAATATCCAAGAGGGAATGCAGTTTCGTCTTCTATAACACCATTACGTAACATGCTTATCCCAAACTGTATTAATGGATAATGGGTTTAAACACCGGACCAATGAATGGAAGACACTTGCACTGTCCCTCAGACCAATGTTGTTGGTTCAGCTTTGTTTTTTTGATATCTTAGCGTGGGCACAGGTGATAGGCCCAGCATTTAAACAACATAGTCTTGGAATTAATACATCTCCTAATAATCGCTGCCTGTACATGGTTCAATCGACATGTTTTATTATTTTACTTTATTTCTCCCTGGCACTGGGCTTTATTCTGAATTTCTGCAACACACAGTTAACATTTCATACCAAACTTGAGACTGCACAACACAAAGAAAAAGGGGAAAGGGAACTATTTTGTTTCTTATGACTAAACTGGGAAGTTGACTCCTCCCTCCCAATCCTGTTGCCGCCCCTCTCTGAGAGCCTATAGTAAACTTGGAGATCGGTCCTTTCTTTGGCATGTTTGCTTGGGCCAGGCTGCTGGAGCAGTGGCAGATGTGAGTGGGGCTTTTTCTTGGCATTTGCAGAACATTCTGTGTGGATGCAAAGGGCACCTTGCCTTCCCAGGACTCTATCTACTGGTCCTCCCACAGCGCGGACTACCCACACTTCAGAAATCCAGACGGAAATGCCAGATGGATAAACAGTGATCTTCCCGGTCACTCCACGGCTTCATATGCACGGCTTCATATGCGCAGCTCTTTGCTGAAGTGTAATCCCTGTCCCTGGCCAACTTCACAGATAACACAGTACCAGGTAGGAGGAACTCAAAGAGAATCACCTGCAGGAGTAGCTGCTCTGCCTACAGAATTCCTCAGACAAGTCGGGTGCTGTCCAACTCTAAGAACTTTGTGCTGGCATAGTGATTTTAATTAAATGTTTCCAATATTATTATTAAATTGTTTTATGGTAACTTTTTGTGAGGTATGAAACAAGTATCAAGCACGGATTCACGACTGACATTTTATTCTTGCTTGTGGAATTAGCAAATTGTAATGTTATGACTGGTTATGTGCATAGTAAATATTCACAGGTGGCAGGATTCCTTTTCTTTATTGATATCACACACCTATTGACATGCATTATAAGCTTGACAGCCTTAGTGAATAAAAAAAAAAAAATCTAACAGAAAAATTTCTACTGCCATAAACACAACAATCTGGACATAAAGAAAGAACATATACAACTACTGCCAGAGAGAGTTGATTATGTGTGTAAACAGCATTTATTGATTCGTGGCAAATTCTGAACTGGCCTGTGAACTTACTGATCCAGATAGGCAACTCTGTGGTAGTACATGATTAGCATAAGATGACATAATAAGAACTAATTATGTAATTATTGTTTTAGTCAGGATTTTCGGCAACATTTATATTTCCATTTTGAGTGAATTCCAATACAGGCTTTTGTGTAGCAGCCACTGTCTTGCTGGATTATATTAAAACTCTGAAGCACAATTACGATAATTGCAGCAGAATAGTGTGGGCAGCATTCAGTAGCTGGTATTCTCACCACATACTCATAGCACCGGGGTCACACGTTTGATTCCAGCCCCTGGTGTGTTTTTGTGTGGGCTTTTTCTGAGTACACCAGTTTCCTTCTGCAATCCAAGAGGTTACACTGAATGGTATGTAATGACCTGGGCCCTGCATAGGCAAGTATTAAAAGTGACTGGATAATTTTGATTGCATTTGTATGCAAAATACCGTGCCCTCAACAATTATTGTCACCCCTTGTAAAGATTTGTAAAAAAGTGTTAGAAAATATCCACCTTTTGGCGAAGTAGCTTCATGTCACATTGAAAAAATGAGAAAAATCCAACCTATCACTTAAATAAATTTAATTAAAGAAAACAAAAACTGTCATCAAGAAATAGTTATTTTTAAACAAAAACAATTATTGGCACCCTTGGAAATTACAGTAACTGAAACGTGTTTCCCATGTAAATTGTACATCTTTGAGTTGATTGGAGTGTGTAGGAACAATCAAGCTGTAATCCATGAATACCTGATTAACTGGGGTACAAACGTAAGGTGAGACAGAGGCCAAATTCCCTTAGTCACCCATCAACATGGGAAACACACAAGACAAATGAATTGTGTTGACCTTCATAAGTCAGGGAATCAGTACAAAATTAGCTACTCACCTGAAAATGTCCAATTCAACTGTTTCAGCAATAATAAAACAGTGGACATCAACTGGAACTGTTACAAACCTGCCTGGAAGAGGACCCAAGTTTATTTTCCCCCCCACATACACTGAGGATGATAGTAAGAGAGGCAAAAAAAATCCCCAAGGATCACTGTTGGTGAATTACAAGACAAGGTACAATCTTGGGCTTACCATGTCTCCAAAACCACCATCCGATGCCACCTTCATGCTAATATTATTTGGAAGGTATTCAAGAAAGAAGCCTTGTCTGTCAGATAACCACAAACGTGTATGAAACAACTTTGATTGGAACCATGTTCTATGGTCTGATGAAACAAAAATGGAGCTTTCTGGCAATGAACATTCAAAGTGGGTTTGGCGTAAAAAGGAGGATGGCTATAATGAGAAGAACGTCATCCCAACTGTAAAATAGAACATGGGCGTTCTATGATGTTGTGGGGCTGTTTTTCCTACAAAGGCCCTGGAAACCTTGTTAGGGTACATGGCATTATGGACTCCATGAAATACCAGGACATTTACAGTAAAATCTAAATTTAGCTGACCTTGCCAGGAAACTCAAACTGGGCCATCAGTAGATCTTCAAGCAGGACAGTGATCCTAAGCACATGTCCAAATCAACATATCTGACTGCACAATCAAGCCTCTGCCCCTGACCTGACCCCCACTGAAAACCTGTGGGCTGAGGTGAAGAGGAGAGTGCACAAGAGAGGGCCGAGGACCCTGGATGATGTGGAGAGATTCTGTAAAGAGGAACAGTCTCAGATGCCCTGCTCTGTATTCTCCAACCTGATATAATGTTACAGGAGAAGACTCAGTGCTGTTATACTGGCACTTAATATATTTACTTAATACTGTACAAAGTATTAAATGCTGGGGTGCCAATAATTGTGACACATGCGTTTTGTTGAAAATAATTATTTCTTGATGAAGGATTTGTTTTCCTTTGATTAAATTTATTTCAAAGAAAGGTTGGATTTTTCTCATTTTTCAGTGTGACATGAAGCTACTTCACCAAAATGTGGATTTATTCTTACCCTTTCTACAAATCTTTACAAGGGGTGCCAATAATTGTGGAGGGCACTGTTTGTGCATGTGCAGTACCAATCAAATGCTTGGAAAGGCCTACCCAGAAAAGATTTATTTGTACTATTCTCTGCATTTTAGAATAATTATAAAGCCATCACTGTATTTACCAAAAAAAAAAATTATTAGGGGAGGCAGCTCTGTGAGTTGGGACTCAGAAGGTTGCTGGTTCAAATCCCATTGTCTACGGAGTCATCCCATGATTGGGCCCTTGATCAAGGCACTTAACCCTAATTCATCCAGGGACTGGCTGACCCTACCGTTTCCTCTATGCCAATTTCATGAGGTGGCCTCCTGAGATGCTTTTCCAGCTGTCCTGTAGGAGGTCCCACATATGCTGGGCACTCATTGGCCACTTTTCCTTCATTCTCTGGTCAAAGCCATTTCTACTGTGTTTAGGTCAGATGGCCAAATCATGTGATGCGACACTATTACTCTCCTTCGTAGCTGACTTGGCATGTCAAAACTTTTGACTGGTGCTATATATTGAGGTGTGCAGACAATAATGTATCATTAATACTTTCACTATTGACAGTTTTTCTTGATTTGGCAATATCTCAACATTACCCATATGTTAACCTGTAATAATACAATTATGATATTACATAACAAAGTTAACATTCACTTTATTAACACAATAAAGTGAAGTCAGCTGAGTACCTGAATCTACTGAATGGCCAGGTTACACCTCCATCCATCATGAATGGATTTTTTCTTCTCTGTTGGCATGGGCATATTCCAGGACAAGAATGCCAAGATTCATTGGGTTCGAATTGTCAAAGAGTGTTTCGGGGAGCATGAGGAATCATTTTCACGTATGACTTGGTCACCACAGAGCTTTTGATTTGCCATAATCAAAGCTAAAGGAGGTCCAACGGAAAATTGAAATGGGGACTATTTTTTGGCCGGACAGTGTATATTTTAATCATGTATAGCAATATCCTTTTCTTTGTAAAAATAGTAAAAATTGTATGTGGTAACATGACATTCTACATGTTTTTGAGTGAATGCTCCTCCAATTTTTAAAAATATGATAGGTAAGGCTGTCTATAAAACACTGACATCATCCAATGTTATTTTGACATGTAGTCCTGCCCTGCTTGGAATAAAATGACAAGAACTCTGCATGTATCATAAACTATGCCAGTATATGTTGTGTGAGAGAAATAAGAGAATGGATAAAGGTGCATTTTATATGGTCTGCCTTTTTTGTAATTTCTCAAGACTTCTCAGCCCTGTTTATCCCATCTGCCATCCCATCAGTATTATGACTGTCATTATTAGGGGTGTAACGGTACACAAAAATCACGATTTGGTACGTACCTCAGTTTTGAAGTCACGGTTTGGTACATTTTTGATACGGAGGTAAAAGATAACACAAATTGCTTATTTTTTTATTTATTAGACAGTGGTTTACTGAACAAAGATTGGCTGTCTTCCTTAAATAAAAAGTCTGTCAATACTGCTGCAACCTACTAATAAAAAACTAACATTTACTTAAAAGTAAATCAAAATAAATATTCTCTCAAGTAAATAAAAAAGAAATATCCATTTAGGTGCACATTTAGAAAATTAACTGTACCTGATTTGTACTGTATTTACATTAGCAGCTTTCAGCTTCATATTAGAACTATGCAACACAAATACTGTCTCATGAAATACATTATGGTGCAGCATTTTAAGAAAATACCTGCGCTGTACTTGTGTTCATATTAACAACTTCCAGCTTCACATTAGGATGTATGGAGGCATGTGTAGTAACATGGTTTCATCCACCCCTTTCCAAATGTTGCTCAGGGGAAACATACAAACAAACGTATGTGTACCAAGCCGAAAGATCCATACCGAAAAATTTCAGTATGAATATGTGTACCGTTACACTCCTAGTCCTTATGTATGAAAATATACTTGCACATTTTTTTGTTTAATTATAATAAATATTGACACGTCACATTGAAAAACTTTAAATTATATATAAAGGGTCAGCAAGGAGGTAAGCAGGACACCTCGGAATGTTCTACGAAGTATACAACTGTTGAAGCCTCAAGCAAGTTGTCTAACCTGAAATATTTCACTAAATTTCCATCCCTAAAAATAGTAAAACCTTATCTGAATGTAATAGTATAAATCTACTATTAACCTGAAGTCGCCCTTTGTTCTGTCTCTCCTCTTTTCAGTACCAACACAATGCCTAAACAAGTAGAAGTAAGGATGCATGAGAGTCACTTGGAGCCTGTAAACCCGCCCTCTAAACCTATGAGTAAGGGCATCTGCCAGAAGATGTGCAGGAACATGCTGCTTACGCTTACTATACTCGGTCAGTGTAGCACACTTCCTATTCCTGATGTCAGAGTATGTGTTGTGCAGTACAATTAATATTTTCTAAGACCTTCTGAAATAATTTTATTTAAATAATAATGATCAAAAATTAGATATGGTAATACATTACTGTAATCAGTTGCATAGGATTTATTTAATATTTGGTATTTGCTAATTGACTCTGGAGTTGAGAGTGGATCATTGGTCATTAATGGTCTCTCTGTACTGTAGGTGTGATTCTTGGGTCTGTAGCAGGGATGCTCCTGCGTTACGTTTCACCCCTGCCACCTGATGTCATCATGGTCATCGCCTTCCCTGGGGACATCCTTATGAGGATGCTGAAAATGCTTATCTTGCCACTTATCATTTCTAGCTTAATCACAGGTTCGTCATCCTCAATAACAACCAAATTCGGAAAATAGAAACCTCCTTATATCTTAGTAAGAGCTCAGAATCCCAGTTCTTATTTTATTTTGATGCCCATACTACATTATTTATAATATATTTGCTTTGTGATAATTTAATAAGCAGTAACAATTCTAGTGCAGAATGTTCCTACTGTAAATCTGTGATATTCTATTCAGCTACATGCTTGAACTTCTAGTCAGACAAGAAATGCCACTGAAATATCACTGACATCCTCTTTTAGTAGTGTACAGTATAATAGAGGTAGAATGGCCACATACAATATTATTCTACAAAATGTGTTGTACTTTTCTGAAGGTCTGGCAGGATTGGATGCAAAGTCCAGTGGGCGTCTGGGTACCAGGGCTATGGTGTACTACATGTCCACCACTATCATCGCCGCTGTACTTGGCGTTATCTTGGTTTTGATCATACATCCGGGAAACCCAAAGCTAAAAGCCGGGCTTGGGGAAGGAGACAAGAATGATGAGGTGTCCAGTTTGGATGCCTTTTTTGACCTGATTAGGAACCTTTTCCCTGAGAATCTGGTTCAGGCCTGTTTCCAGCAGGTAAGTCACCTCTCTTTACAAAAATAGCCACGAGAGCATATGGGGAAGAATTTAGGTTTTATTTTTGCTAAAACCATATGTTTTGTATTTATTGGAACAAAAAAAAATCTACTTTCCCTACAGATCCAAACTGTCACAAAGAAAGTGGAGCAGGTTCCTGATTATATAGAGGAGGGGAACGTTACCTTGGGCGACTTCCTCCTGAACAGCACCATGGCTCCACCAGAACCTGTTTATGTTATTAAAAAATCCTTGCAGTTCAAAAGTGGAATGAATGTATTAGGTACTCAGTCAGGCCTCTGTTGCATTTTATAGTCCTATTGTTATTTTAAAGTCGTATAAGGGTAGGAGAACTGTTATGGTGGGTGCATGTAAGAAGAATTGTTGCTTTCCTTGTGGATTTAACACATTCTCATAAGTCATACAATGAAATTTCACATTTTTATGAAAAATTGGCTATTTGAAAAATTATATGTTTTAATTAATTAAAGTTGGTTGTTTTGTGTTGCTTGGTTTTCAGGCGTCATTGGCTTCTTCATCGCCTTTGGTATCTGCATGGGAAAGATGGGAGAAAAGGCGAGGTTGATGATTGACTTCTTCAATATTCTGAATGAAATTGTCATGAGACTTGTCATTATGATCATGTGGTAAGTGATTTTTCCCAAAGGCCATAGCTAAAACGGTTTGAAATCATACAGTACAGGTTTATACTCTACATATATTTTCTATATAGCTTATATTCTTCACCCTCATATATCCTGATCCCGCTGTGCTCAGTGAAACAAGAGAAATCCGGGGCCTCGTTTATAAAAAAGTTGTGTAGAAACCATCCTACTGTATATTTAGTGTAAGATCATTTATGAAAAGTGCTTAAGTGTGATTCTGAGGAAAAATATGCCACTCTCCCAGAGGTGCAATGTATAAATCAAAAATTGTGTAAAGTTGAATTTTTGAAGACCTCCACCTTGGAAACATCCTGTAAGTAATATCATAACCATATAAATGAGCTCGAACCAAAGCTGTTTGGGTGCCTTTCCAGTAGTGTTACTACTAGGGATGTCATGATACCAGAAATTCAGTAGTCAATACCAATACCAGTGAAATTCCACGATTCTAAAAAACCCAATTCAAGATTTAAGATATTAAGCAAGAAATGGAAGCAGAACAAAACAGAACAATTAAACACAGGTAAGGCATTTATTTATACATCCATTTACAGTTTTCAAGATGGGCCGTGGGAAAATTAAAGGCAACAAAGCGATCGCGTCACCATTCATGACAAGCTTACAAACAAATGTACTGTAGGTCACCAACTATGGAAACAACTTTATAGTAAAAGTATTTTTTTATTCATATACGTAACATTTTAGAAATTGATTTGTGATAACAATTGTCAGGATGTGAACCAGACCAAGTTTATAAATGTAGCACTTTTATTTTAAGATATGTCCTATTTTTTATATTTTATTGGGGGGGGGGGGGCATTTCAGAGGGGGACTAGAACACTTGTAGGCATGTATGCTGCTCCTGTCCAGTACAGAAGAATTTCACCCTTGGTATCATATTAGTATTGTTGAAAACATATCTTCAGAATTTTTCCATTGACTTAGTACCAAACTTAGTGATATCCGTACTTTGTAAAATCAGGGCCGTCTGGCCACAAAGTTCTAATAGCATAGCTCTCTGCAATTATTAGCATTATTATTGTTGTTATTAGTATTATTATTCAGATTCAATTAAGCAACAGATGATGATGCTCTTAAATTTCTCACTTCCTGCACTACTCCAACATTGCCACAAGGAAAATTGCATGCCGAGCTTGAACCTGACGTTGGTCTAATTGTACTTTTCAATGTCAATGTCTGTTTTATGAATCTCAGCTTTGCCAAGGATTTGACCGTAATGACAATATAAAATCAAATCTCTGTTTAAGAAGACTTTATATATGAGGTTCCTGGACTCCTTGAGATTAACAGATGTCCACTGTATTTCCACAATTATGAACTTAAAACCAGTGCTTCTTCTTATAGGTATTCCCCTTTGGGTATCGCGTGTCTGATTTGTGGGAAGATAATTTCAATCAAGGACCTGGAAGTGGTGGCACGTCAGCTGGGAATGTACATGGTCACAGTCATTGTGGGCCTGATTATCCATGGTGCCATCTTCCTGCCTCTCATTTATTTCACCATCGTCCGAAAAAACCCTTTCACCTTCTTCATGGGCATCTTCCAGGCTTGGATCACAGCCCTGGGAACAGCATCTAGGTACAAGAGGTTCCTTCCACTAGATAAAAGCCTCCGTGGGCTACTTGTCAGGTGTACGTAGGGTTACAAAATTCTGGGAATTTTCTCGTAAATTCCCATATATTTCCATTATTTCCCCAGGAAAGTTGTCAACTGGAATATTTCCAAAATTCCTCAGCTTAACTTCTCATGGAATGGAAAGTTTCTGGAAAGATTCCCAAAATTTTCTGCCCCTTTGCGACCCTAGGTGTACCACATCTTCGATATCCCCCATTATTAACAGGAATCTCACCACCAAATGGCTAATTTGCTCATCACCAGATTATATTCTGTCAAGTACAAACATATGCTGCTACTTTGTTTTATGCAAAACAATATTCTGGTGTTGGCATTAGAACCTTTTAGCATTTTTTTTCCTCGAGAAAGACACATGCTGCCTATTCTTCTAATGAACTGTGTTTTAAAACTACATTTCTATTTTACTTATGACAGATGTCCCTCATGTACCACAAAAAATATGCATAAATGCTCATCAGATATACACATATTTGGGGTATAGAATGAATGGGTGATCTGATATCTACAAAATGTTCCTTAACAATGCATTGTTACTAAACTGAGTTACGGAAGGTTATCAGTGAGTAACACATACTATGACATTTAGCTTGATACTATCGAATATGTATTTGCCTCCCAGTGCTGGTACACTGCCTGTCACTTTCCGGTGCCTCGAGGACAACCTAGGCATCGATAAGAGGGTGACGCGGTTCGTGCTCCCCGTTGGCGCAACCATCAACATGGATGGGACGGCTCTTTATGAGGCTGTGGCAGCCATTTTCATCGCCCAAATGAATGGGATAGTTCTTGATGGGGGTCAGATTATCACTGTCAGGTGGGTTTCAGAAAATCCTCAAGAAAAGATTTGACACAACTCAAGTCTTCAAAAAAAATTGAAGTGGTTGTTGTATTAATGTGAATTAGGAGTTCATATAACCAATAGCACTGGATAACCAACAGACACAAGTACTTTAAATCATAGTACTCAAGCCCCATACTTCTCCATATATAGTCTCTAACTCCATACTTCTGTACCCAGTCTGACTGCCACCCTGGCCAGCATAGGGGCAGCGAGTATTCCCAGTGCTGGACTTGTGACTATGCTTCTTATCTTGACTGCTGTGGGCCTCCCTACTCAGGACATCAGTCTGCTGGTGGCTGTTGATTGGCTTCTGTGAGTACTTGCACTTTACATGCTGAAAAAACACAGCTTGTGTCGCTACTGTTATTGATTAAAATTCATTATTCCATCGTATTAATCTAATGTTAAATAAAAACAATATATATATAGTGTGTGACACTTTCTAGAAGTTATCCTGTTGGGGTGTCTTTCTTTTTGTCTTCAAATCTGCCTTCTATGACAGCGATCGGTTTCGAACATCAGTCAACGTGGTGGGTGATTCCTACGGGGCGGGCATCGTGTACCACCTCTCCAAAGCAGAGTTGGATACCTTGGACGCCCATGTGCAGTCAGATGACATTGAAATGGTCAAAACCCAATCCTATTATGATGACATCAAGAACCATCGTGAAAACAGCTCCAACCAGTGCATTTATGCTGGTCACAACTCAGTTCGAGTAGATGAATGCAAGGTAGATTTTACACTTACAGATATAGAGACATGTATATAGCCATATTTGTGATCTGCATTTTCGTGTTAACCTCTACTTGTATATATGAATTTACATTTACTACAAATGCGAAATGTATATATGTATATTTATTAAATTAATGCACTTATTTATTTATTTGTTTGTTTGTTGGGTATTCGAATGGAATAGCGGTGTTTGTGCTACCCATATATAATGATGGTGTATATTTACTGAAAATCTCAGGAGAATAAATCTTTATTAGTATATTTTTTTCTATGGCAGTTTTCAAGAACTATTAAAAATAACTTTTTAATAACACATTATGAATCTTCACATCATAAAAACACTGTGTGACTCAAAACTCAAACCCCATATGTATGAATAAATGGCATAAATAGCACAGGACATCCCTTATAGGGACATCCCTTATCCATGAATTTACTACTAATTGCCTTTATGGAAAAAATCAGTAAAAATACCAAAAAAAGAGAGATTAAAAGATAATGAAGAGCCACAACCTCTTTTCCATTTTGGCTGTCTTTTCGTTTAATAATTTTGAATTTGCCTAGTATAACAGGTAAACAACTCAGACTAGTCCCCCAAGTGAACCCATCTTCATTTATTTGAATAGGGGAGTTTAATTTCTTTTCAGTAGTATTAATTAGGCCTAAACTTTTAATAAACTTTTTTTTTTTCAAGAATACGATAATACATTGCTTAATTAGCTCATGCTTTGGCATTGTATAATACATTTTATTTTATTTATAAATACATACAGTATTTATGATTTCTAAGAAAATGTACTCTTGTATAAGAAAAAAAGCCAATGCTTTACAATTTCAATATTGCAGCTCCTTAAACTTTTATATGTATCTTATTCAGGAAACAAAATATAAGGTAAGCACTGTCCAACAGCCTTTCCTCTTCTGAATTGGAATTAGTCAAAGGTATGGTAAAATGTAAAGTAACTTTCTGCCTCCTCAGTGTAATTGACTGGATTATATCTAATAAATATTATCGTTTCAGTCTTTTTTTATTGCCCGAAATATAACTTCCAGAAAAATTATGTTCAATCTTCCATACAACCTAATGTAATGCACCGTGGAAGACATAATGGCTGCTATTTCATGAAATCTTCCTGATTTTACCTCATGATATATTTATTTATTTATAAATACATATATATCATATATATATGCTCTTGTAAAAAATGTCATGTAAGGTAATCTTTCAATGGATATTCTATTATTTTCAATGTACTTGCTGTTATGTGTGTGTTCCATTGTACTTCATGCTTGGTTTGATCATTCAATTAATTTTTTTAAATATCTATGAAGATAATAGTAAGTTAGTAAGTTTCTTTTACTCTCTCCTTCTCTCTGTCTCCTTTTATATGAGTTTTTTTCAGTTTCAAGAGCTAGATCAGTAAAGACATGCACTTTACCATGTTTGGTCCTACAGTTAGATGTTGTTGATAATTGCTTGCAGGTAACCTTGGCCACAAATGACTGAATTGAGGAGTACACAGTTGTTGGGGAGGGACCCTGGCAATGTGATTCATAGCCCCAAGCTTCCACAACTGGTGAAATAAAACCATAAGATCAATAATAACTAAAATTAAATAAACTAGTTTTTAGGTGGTAGCTTTTATTTTTCATGATAATAACTAATCAGCTCTTAGTTTTTAATTAATCTGATCTTAATGAATAACAAACTAATTTTTTACCAGATAAAATACTAATGTGGCTGTTACTGTGTAGACTTAGAGTGCTGTAGATAGCAACAAGTGCAACCCAAGCATTCCTGCATTCGACTCCTGTGAATTGAATGTTGAATATTTTAATTGTCCATGCTCACAAACACGTCTGTGATGAAAATGCCCAGACACATGGTGGTGATAGTCTGGTGCTGCTGTAATAGCTATCCCCATCTGGAGATGCCTTCTGCTGTGTTTGAAAGCCTTTTCCTCCCATCAACCTAAATGTGGACCCTGGTTAAAGATGTAGCAGCAAAATGAGAGGGTAGAGATCAAGCACGGTGAAATCTAACCAGAGGCCAATTGATGTCCTAGTCTTTCTGCAAGTTAAAGCACAGTGTGTCTGATGACTGAGCATCCCCATCATTAGATTACTTTGAGGAAATTCTCCAGATTTACTGTTAGGGTTTGAATGTTGTGTTTAGTCATGCACATGGATGAGAGCCATTTTGTCATCTCACAACTCTCAGAACTTTCTGAAATGTCATCTCAATACTTTAGATAACCACCCACTGTATGATGGATGACCGGGACAAAAAGACAAGACCTCATATTGACAAATCTGTATGAAAAATTAAATAATTTGTGAGTGGAATACTGTAGAATTACAATGTATAGAACATATATGCACTATGTATAGTTTCCCTAAATATTGCATTATTAAATTGCACATTTAAGGGCACTGAACACTGAAATTACACAATTTGGGGACTTCATTCATTTCACTGTGACCCATTTTTAAATTAAAGCTATTTCTTTAGAGTGTATCTTAAATGAAGGACAGAATTTCTCTTCGATTTCTCAACTTTTAAAATGTTTTATGTCTCTTTTATGACTCGCAGTGTTGAGAAGACTAACCAATAAATAAAATGCAAAGTGGCAAACACATACCAACACACACACACACACACACACACACACACACATGTTTGTAATTATATCTCTGTGGGGACTCTCCACTCATTTCTATGGGGAAAATTCTAATCACATCATGATGACCTTAACCCCTACCCAGCCCTAACCTTAACCATTAGTACCCAAACAAAATACTAGACTTTTGGCATTTTTAGTTTGTCGATTGCATTCACAGATCTCTGTGGGCACCTGAAAAACAGGTTTTTATTACAATGTGGGGGACATTTGGTCCCCACAATGTAATACAAACATAATCCACACACACACAAACAAACAAGCAAAAACCAAGCACAGAAAGCATTTCAAATGCCATCAGCAGTACAAAAGGTGAAAAGAGTTGTTCTGGGTTGTTTCATGCTACTCACAAGGATTAACTCCAACTATCATCGCACAAAATCAGCCTTCTTCTAGATGAGGAGAAGGAGAGTTGTCATGCAAACATCACAAACTGGTATTTTCTAAAGCAAATTATACATTATATTTCCAAAATATGGCATATTTGATCATTCATCATGCATTAAGGTTTCGATCTCTTTCAATGAGCCAAAAATAGAAAATAAATATTCTTTGAGCCCTTCCTTACATGCAAGTGACCTATGTCGGCATTTTATTTAGTTTTTACTGTTCTTAATTTACTGTTACTATTTTGCTTTTAACTGCAAGCTGTGCAGCCAGTGTTCATGACAATACTGATAATAACAAATGCAAAAAAAGCAAGTTGTCTCTTCCCATGGTACCCTCCAGAAAGGTTGCCAATGCCACTAATGCTGTTTGTTCTGCACTGTTCAATTGTGTTGGATATTTTTAACTGGTTCAATTGCTGGATATGGATAATGTAAAATATATTAACTACATAATTAATTGCAACCAGCTTGCAGCTGATCACAGGACGGATGAACTGTATCCCGCCATTCATTGAGTCCTTTGTTTTGTAGTTGTACTATTATAATAATCAGCAGAAAGGTTAGAATGATAATCATATATCAGGGTATCTCCAAAGGGAAATGAGCACTAAACTGATTATCTGCATCAATTTATAGTTATAAGAGCAGCACATAAAAATACATTTTTATTTCATGTTTTGAATGCATTTCATTAAAGTGCCTACTTGCACTTTGTGTACATATTGTAGTTGACCTGCATTTTAATGATTTGCATGGGGAAATGCTGTTGGATTACATTTTGTTGTTTTAGAGCATTATTTTCTCAGTTCATAAAATGAGATTTCAAAAGGAGGATAAAAAGCTGCCATGTCATTATAATTAACTGGTCACCAGCTGCCTCATGCTGTTGTTGCAATACATTATGCGACTTTGTTCTATACAATCTTTATGTCAGAATGTTCTTTAACTATGGAATCATGTTACTTGGGCTTGTGAATATTCTGATATGTGCTGGATGTAGTAATTAGCAATTAAATATTACTTGTGATCTTCAAGGATAGAAACTTCACACTCAAGACAGATATAAGTTTTTTTGCACCATTAACATATACTACCTTTAGAAAATTTAATTTGGGTTAGGATAACCTTTACAACATTCGCTTGTCGTGCTTCACTTGTTGTTCATAGGTTTTATAGGGTAGCCATTAAATTTCATGACATCACGAGTGTATAATTCACTCCAACACTGTTCTGGGTGTCATTCTGAAACTTTACTTTGAAAGCAGTAGGTATATCTTTATGGGTATGGCAAAAACAACTCAGCCTGCTTCTTCCTAATGGATCATGAAACTAATACAACTATGTATCAGCATGTTTGTAACATATCCTGGCTGTTTTTAGGTGTAATTTCTTTATATTTAAATATGTTGTTGTACATTTATGGGAGCGAGAGTGAGGAAAATTTAAGAATGGCTTCTATGTTTTTTTCTCTTATTCTGTAAACTAATAAATGTAAATTCATAACAAATACTGAGGTTTTTTTTCAGTCTGACTAAAAAGCTCTTATCTTAAATAAATCTTTTCGTTGAGGAATTCATTCCATTACTACATAATATACATGAACAGTATTCTTATCCCATGGTGGCTAAATAAACTTTTTTATTTAACAATCAAGAATCAAAATAGTCAAACCTCGGATTGCGAGTAACTTGGTTTGCGAGTGTTTTTCAAGACAAGCAAAAATTTTAAATAAATTTTAACTTGATAAACAAGCGAGGTCTTGCAATATGAGTATTATGTATACGCTTTGTCTGCCTAGTGTCACGTAATCACAACTGAGTCTGAGGTTCTTCTCTCTCTCTCTCTGTCTCTCTCGCTGCAGGATTGTGGGTAATCATCTCCTATGCGCAGTCTCAGTCGGCGTCCCTCACTCGTATAGTCAAAATATAGTAGAAATTAAAGCACCAGCCGAATAAGGCCGTAGCAGTGCGAGCGATTAATCTGTTTAACGACAATGCAATGTCCACATTTCTACGAAATCGAAAAGGAGGCAAAAGAGGCTGTCATTGGATAGGTTCCTTGTTAAAGTCGCACAAAAAGAAAAAGATTCCTGTAAGCCAACAGATAGCAGTGATTCCATTAGTTATAGTAAAAGTCATCCTACAAAATAACCCTCCTCTTCTCCTCTCTCTCGTCTCCCTCACACCATCCACGATTCTTTTCAAAGGTAAATTGCAGGTTAATTTGTTTTATGCATTTTTACTTTATATTTTGTATTAATAATTTTTAATTATTATTTTTGGGTTATGGAACGAATCATCTGAGTTTCCATTATTACTAATGTGAAAATTCGCTTTGATATACGAGTGCTTTGAATTACGAGCACGTTTCCGGAACAAATTATGCTTGCAATCCGAGGTTTTACTGTACCTATTTTGTAACTTGCAAGACACCAGTGATAGTCAGATCAATTCTGAGGTGCAATAGAGGATGTAAATCAATAATTCTGTGACATGTTGTAAAACTGGATGGATTCTAAATGGATGAAAGTTTGTATCACTTACAAACTACCATAATAATAATTTGTTTTGAGAAGGACACGGGAGCAGGTGTGATAAACAAAAGGGGTCTTGTTAAATTAAAAAGTACAAAACTGAAAACAAGATCTCGGGGGATCTAAACGAGAGTAATGAAGGAAGACAAGACATAGGCAACACTGGGGAACAATGTCAATGACAGAGCCAACGAGGGAGCAAACTGTCACAGCGCGGTATGGCGCAAGTGGGAAAAAGGTGACAATCCACTGAAGGCTTTGAGACAAAGGGGATTTATTAAGGGGACTAACAATAGTGGGCAATGCACAAGGGACCACAAGAGGTCAGAACAAAATTAGGGAATTAAACTTGAAAGAAACCACAAAGCAAATACACCGGGGAACTGAGCAACACAGTAAACAGGACTGAGCAACAGAACAAAGCAACAAACATGTAGTAACTAAACACAATAACTGACTAATGAACAGAAATTGGGTACTTAAATACACAAACAAAAACCAGGCCAAACAAAGGCCAGGTAACTCATAATCAAATGAATCAATCACTAAAGGAGAGGACAATGACCAGCAGGTGGAAGAATTAACCAAAACAGAACCAGGGAATTCTACAAACACTGTAGCTAAGAAATACTAACCACAGTTTATGCAAAACTAAATTTATACTAAATTTTGGGTGTCATAAAATGCCTCATTAATATTTCAGGTGTACTACTAATCTGCTTAATAAATTGTGGGCATAAATAAATGTCCATATAGTACCGAAAAACTAGCATCTGACCAAATGTTTCATCCATCATCTGTAGCCCTGGTGATTATTGCGCATATATCAATATCAATATGATATCGTCCAGCCCTACTGGCCATTGACCAGCCTCAAACCCATGATCAGAGGGTTAGAAGTCGCAGAGCAACATGCTCAACCCACTGAGCTATGAAGTGGTTCGGGGAGCAGGGAGAGTACACTATGGCTGAACGGCTATAAGAGAGGGAGTGGAAAAGTGCAATAACCAGCAACACCTGCTGGCTAAACACAAGCAATAATATTTTGAAATCAATCCTATAATGCACAGGAAACCAGTGAAGTGATTTAAGGACTGGTGTGATATTCTCTACTTTCTTGGTTTAGTGAATTTAAGCCTTTTGCCAAGATCTGTGAAGACACCCTTATAATAGCCTAGCCTGTTAAAATAAATGCATGAACTAGCTTTTCTGTATCTTGTTTCAACAGAAATCCTTTCTTGCTATGTTTTTAAGGTGGTTGTAGGATGATTTTGTAATTGTCTTTATGCAGCTGTTGAAGGTGAGCAACGACTTTCAATCTTTCTTTTTTGGGGGCCAAATACAATCATTTTAATTTTTATATGTTCAATTGTAGAAAATTCTGGCACATGCATTCCTTGATTTGTTCATTGCATGTATTTAGTGAATCTAAGGGACTATTCACCTGATGACAATGTAATGTACAGTTGTGTGTCCTCTGAATAATTATGGTAATAGATGTTTTAGTGATCCAAAACATCCAAAACAAAAGGGGGACCACGAAGATTTTGAACAGAATATTTTTGTTCGCTCAGATTTATAATTATTCATTGACACTAAGTAGTCCCTATCTTGTATAAATGATTCAAGCCAATTTAACATGTTGCCAAAAAGTTCCACCCACTTTTCAAGTCTGTCTAGCACAGGGGTGGGCAATCTTATCTGCAAAGGGCCAGTGTGTACCCAAACAGTCCTCTAACTAGCAATCTAATTCGGGAGTTGCAGCAAAAACCCACATACACAATGGCCCTTTCTGGATAAGATTGCCCATCCCTGGTCTAGAAGTGTCTTATGGTCAACCATGTTGAATGCAGCACTGAGATTCAATAATACCAAAATTGAGATTTTTTGTTAACAATTGTTTTTGTCAATACAATAAGAAAAAACTAACATAGATAAACAAGAATAGATAAACAAACAAACTATTTTTATACCCACCTCCCCAAACAAAAACAAACCCTCTGGTAAACATCTGCTCAGTATACAAAAATATGTAACATGTACAAACATAGAGAAAACTAAATAGAAAAAATAAATACATTCATACATCCTAATATCACACTTTATCCAGTGAATAAATATCCAGTGAAGAAATAAAATGGGACATTTCCAGTTAAAAACTTATAGTTATTAAAAAGAGGGGAGTGATGATGCCATTTAACCAAGTGGATATCAGGTGGGATATTATAGGGCCAAAATGGAGCCTACACTGCTTAATGGGAATGCCACAGAAAACTAGCTCTTTTAAATCAAAAGGGGCCACAATTGATTCTTCAATAGCCCTCCATTACACTCTGGCATCTGAACTAATCCATTTAGATAAGGAATGTAAAACAAAAGACTGGGCGTATATGTAGCACACTTGAATGATGACTCAGGTGCACTTTATATTTTGTTCTTTTACTGCAAACATACAGGCATATTGGTACATTGTTGTGAGCACGTCTCTGTCTTGCATCTCGTCTCAGTGCTACATTACAATGTCTGTACATGACTGTATAAATGTTAAAACAATAGTTTCACTTTGGCACAAAACATAACTATACAAAATAAAACATTAATCTTACTCCAGTACTCTAACGTGACACTTTCAATATATGCATGGCAATTTAAGCAAAGACTACTCAAATGTGCAGTCACAGGGTCTCAATACTAATGGCCAGAGGTTAGTTTTGGCTTTAGCTCATGCCAAACACACTTATAGGGGCTAAACAGCCAACTTTTCCCCTTTGCACGTGACTCTCTGTCCTATGCCACACATGTTCACTCAATATTATGCCTCCTTACCTGCAAGCATACAGGCATAGCGGTACATTGTTGTGAGCACATCTGTCTTGCATCTCGTCTCAGCGCTTCATTACAATGTATGTCCGCTGCATTTACACTGTTGACAGAGGCGCTCACTTAAGGGTACACTCCATCTTGTGGTGAAAATTGGTAACAACACCTTAACGTCTACCTAAAAAAATACTCTGCTGTTGCCTGTGTGCAAGAAACTGGAGCACAGATGTGTGAAAATAAACCAAAACATAAAATGTAAGATGAACTATACACACCCGTAACCCAAAAATGTGAACTTATGGACAAAAGTGACACATTGGCATATTAGTTTGTGAATTCGAACAATAAGAACTGCATACACGAGGTCAACCGATATGGGTTTTTCAATAACCGATGCCGATATTTAGGAGTCAGGGTCAGCCGATGGCCAATATATGCTGCCGATTGTTTTTGCCCGATAATTGGATGTCTTCCCCTCTTTTTGCATGGTAAAATATCACACTAATAACAAACGATACACAAAATTTCTCAACTTAGCATTTATTGAATACTGACTTGTGTGAATTTAAATATAAACTTAACAAAAACGCAATACAACTTGTAAACAATAACAAACTTATAAACAATAAAAATAGGAGCATCAGAATCTCTTTTAGTGCACAATATAGCAGCAAACTCCTCTTTGCTGAGGGAAGGAAAATTCACCAGTCTGCTGCAGATATTGCACCTGGCTTTTCCTGGTGTTGGCTTGGTGAAATGCTGCCAAACAGGATTAGATTTTTGTTCATCCGTCAGACAGCAATTACTGAAACAGAAGTAAAAATGCAAGGTTAGCATTTTTATTATAGTGCCTTCAACAATTCATTCTACATTCCAATATTTCATGCACATTGAAACAATTACACTCTAATAATACATTTTGAAAGGAAAAAAAAACACTAGTAACTAAGTGCATCATCATGGTATGATGAGAGTGTACAAGGCCCAAAACATTTCACAAACATGTTGTTAGCAGACAGATAGCTTACAAGCCAAATTCACAATCAGAATCTAGCGATCGCAGAAAATAAAATAATTTTGTTGTATTACACAGCCTTGTATGCAACGACAACGTAAGCCCCTAGTGATTGTGACGTTGTCGACGGATAAGCCCGTATAAATTCAATGAGGAAACTAACTGCGCAAAGTCAGGCACTTTTTATCTAGACGTCTGACAGATGTTCGAATCTCCGCTCTCAAATGCAAACAAGTTGCACAGAAGGACCACTGTCAGCGTCAGCTCAAGAGAAAGGTAACCACGCTTTCGAACAAACAGTTTTCTCCGCCTTGCATTGTTCTTAGCAGCTCTGTGTCTGAGGACGGTGCTGTCTGTGATCCGGGGAGAATAACGCAACTCACACACGCTGCAGTATTTGAGAGAGCTGCCAGCTCCGCCCCACACACACACAGTGAAATTCTCCGGCACAAGAAAAAAAAACAGAACTGGCAATATCGGGCTGATATGGTAATAATTAAAATTTTAACAATTTAAATGATTTTTAACGACTAAAAAACGTCTGTGAGCCCACCAACAAGTGCACAAAACTAACTGTCAGAATCAATTATCCTTAACGTTACCTGTAAGCTAGTTGGCTGAAGGCTCATTATCATTACGCCAGTTCCCGACAGCGTAGCTCGCGTTTTCTTTTAAAGCAACATTTCATAGTAAGCCAGTTAAATAAATAGGTGTTTGAAAGATCCGAATGTAAGCTTTACCGTTTTCTCCCAGGACTCTTCCAGAACTTCTGGGTGGGGTCCTGCACAAGGCAGCATGGGTCACGTGTTCCACCGCAGCAATAACACTGGGGTGCCCGCAGACCTGCCTGTCTGTAAATCGGTATATTACACTCGGATATCGGCCGATGCCGATACATTAAAAATTGCCAAATATCGGCAGGATATTTCAGTCGACCTCTACTCTGGACGTTATCAAATTTTAAGACGACCTGCACAAAATGTTCAAAACTGAAGTAACAACACTTAGTGTCAGCAAAGAGAAGGGTAAGTTAGATTAGAGGTTTAACCTTCTGAACAGGTTAACTTTATTTGACATTTGAAAGATCTGGAAATTTTCCCCATAAAAAACCCCTAATCAACCCAAAATTGGATCAGCAATGACAGTGCAGCAGAGGGCGCCATCTTGTGAACACAGTTATCTGTCATGTAAATATATTCTATGGATCTCTTTTTTTTTGCAAACTTCCCAGGAACATTGCACAAAGTCAGTGACTCTTAAGCTGTGAGGTGCAGTTTGGTAGCTGGTTGGAGAAATGTATGCTTTTTGGAGGGGTGGAGCAGGTGTGTAAGGTAGGCTTCTAATACATTTTTTCTCATACTGCAGTATTTTCATTTGGCTAACCCCACTTGGCTGAATTTGTGGTGTTACATGAAAGAACATGCACTGACCTGATAACTAGATTACATTAGAGAAGTCACACAATGTGCTCCTGTGGTGCTGGATAAATGGTCAGACCTTGCACTCAAAATGCATGCATGCATGGGCTGTCACTATCAATTTTATCAATAATTGAGTAATCCTACCAATTAATCTAACAATTCATTGAGTAATTGTTTATATATACATAATATGATATTATGTAATATAATATATAACAATTGAAACACTGAAACTGACACAGGCCAGGAACCAACCAGCCATTGCAGGGTACGCAGTCAGTCACACATATGGTCAGTTTAGACACTCCAGTTCAGTTAAGTTGCATGCTTTTGGACAGTGCAAGGAAACCAGACGATTTGCTAAAAAGCTACAGACAAATAGGGTGAACCTGCAAACTTTGCACACAAAGTGTGATGACAACAATACCCACTATTCCACTGCCGCCCTCAGCTTGCACAATTTGCGATGTTAATATTGGCATGACATCTAATGAGCATGATATTGTCAGATCGCAAGGACTGCAATAGTCTACTGAGTTCAGACAATCAGTAAGTTACGCTAAAACATTTTTACTCAAAGAAAACAAAATTGTGCCAGCTTTGCAATTTTAATGATGGTTTCTTTTCAACATTTAATACAAGTTAAAAAAAATAAGTCTAAAGATTATTGCGCTTTCAGTAGTACATGCGCATTCCAAGACAATCATAATCCTTCCCGTCCTTGCTGTTGGACACACTCAGTCACTGTGGCGCATTTATGAGGAAGTAATGATGCACACTTCATGAATTTAAGCAAAAGTGCATTTCTCACTATGCAATTCAGATTTCAAAGAATACCATGAAAAAATGTAACTATCCCTGTGTATTTGGTTAGGACTTTTAAACTTTTTGAAGAAGTTAATCCTCATTTCCTGCTGTATTTATAAAAACATTTCACTTTAAAGTGTTAAAGTTTGAGCCTTCTCTTGCAGGTCAGCATGTGTCGTTCTGTGCTTGTGGGAGCACAGAAGGGTCAAGACCACACATCTTCATCTGTAGTGCAATATCAAACAAGTAGTCATAGCACTCACACCTGGAAAGAAATTAGCTCTTATGAGAAAAAGGCCTTGCAACCTTCAAACCTCTAAGAAACCCAAATAAAAGTCAATGTCTCAATAAGGAACTTTAAATTCTTTTTTTAATTACTAATAATGGCATTAATATTTGTAATCATTTTCCTCCCATTAGTAATACATCATAATGAAATTGGTTGGGCAACACGATATCTCACGATTTAATTAAATTTATTTAATACAGTTAGTTATTAAATTTGGTTAGCAAAACATGCCACATAACTACTTTTTGGTATATCAAGGAAGCAACAAGCCCTGAAGTAAGGGACAGGTTAACAGACATCATCTTTTGAAAAAGGAGATATTGTGGATAAACATGGTAAAAAAAGACGTTGATGGTGTGGCAGTACTTTTTGCAGTTTAAAGTTTGACACATTTATTTAACTTAAGTATATGCCAAATTTATACAGATTACTAAATTTTGGTCATCTCAATGTCTCATTAATATTTTAGGTGTACTACTAATCTTCATATGAAATTATGGATGTAAACACGCATATAGTACCAAAAAGCCAGGATATTGACACCCGTCCTCTAAAGCCCCGGTGATTATAGCACATGCACCATATAATCGCAATGTGATATTGTGCAGCCCTAGTTGTGGAATGTAAAAGCATTTAGATTTGGGTAATACTGATATGGACTCACATAGTTTTTGCTTTTTCCCAGGATTCACCCCAGACATAAACCCCGTGACGCCGCACAAGGATGGCACAAGTGTCTGGGTATTTCTCCATAGCCTGAGCCATTCGCTCCTTCAGGTCCACCTCCTCTGGGGTATTTTCTATGATGGGCACCACCAGGGTCTCATCATACCTGCTCAAGAACAAAGGGACCTAGATCTATCAGAGTAAAAGGCATTTGAGGTACATCACATAACACAACACCCAGCGCTGCATACAGGAGGGGTACCATTAGCAAATTCATGGACCCCACCTGTAGTTTGTGCCAGTGTTCCCCTTCCGGATCCCCTTAATCATTTCTTGGTGAGTGATGTGGAATTCATTGCCAGGAAACAGCAAAGTTGCCATCACTGCAGCCTTTGAATGCGTATGTATCACTGCTCGAGCATCTGAAGTTACAGGAAGAATACAGGATGGACTATAGGAAACACACCCAATATTACAGTATTCATACTACAATTACAGCAGTGAGGTGATCAAACATACCTCTCATGGTGTATGCGTTCATAAACAGAGGTGTGCACTGACTTTTCTTCAATTTCTTTGATGGTGATGGGCAACGCAGGTCCCTCTCCTCTAAGTCACATACAAACAGGTCGTCTGACTGAACAAAACATAAAGTGACTAAGTATATGGCTCTGAAGGCAGCACTGTTGACCCATATCTCAAGGCCTCAATCCTATCCCAGTCCCCTGTGTAGAGTATGCATGTCACATGGTTTTTTTCCAGGTACTCCCGAGTCCAAAAGCCTGTGGTTAGTGAAGTGGAATATCTATATTGCCTGACGTATGGGGATGTGTGTGTCTATATGGCCTGTGATGGAGTAGTATCCTGTCTTGGGTATTTACCTGGCTTGCTGTCTACGATTGGCTCCAGGCATACCCATGACACCGACTGGAATAGGCAGTTGGATGGTAGTGAAACTAGTTTTCTCTCTAATGTTTAATATAAAAAAAGAAAGAGAATATGCAATACTAACTGACCTGTATCCTCTCCTTCTGGACTCCAGAGGGGGCAATATATATCTCGTTTCTAGGCAACATTAAGAAAAACAGATCACAACTAAAAAAAAGTATATTTAACTCTACACATTAGCTTCTATCATTATTACTACTATTTTTTCCACAAGACTATGGATCATGGAAAAAAAACTACACATACTACAGTAAGGGTATTTATAAAAGAACTGGAAAGGAGATTATACTCCATAGGGCAGTATATTATCCAGGAGAGTGTAAACTTCATTGCCATGACTCAACTTTTCCGTGAGCTTTGTTTGCAGGGTAACATTTTGATTCTGAAATTTCTGGATAACCCCTGTTCTTGCACTGACATGAATATATTAAATTTCCCAAGCCCATTTCAACCCCTAAAATAACACTTATGAACTTAATCGACTGTACCAAATTTAAATTCAGAAAGATAAATTAACTTTTGCTGACGAACCCATGTCGAAGGCTTATTCCTCCCCCGGTACCAGTCACCCATCCTAGGTGGTAGAAAAGTCTGCAGAGCTCAGGAATCAAAATCCTAGGATGCTCCTTATCCTGTTAAAAAGACATCAAATGCACTGCAAATATCACAGCCCTGGAATAAGGCAACACTAACATTCTAATCTTATGTGAATTATAAAACTCTGTCCATATGATATTTTACTATATATATTTATAGACATTGTTTATAAATTTGGCGCGCACGCGCGCACACACACACACACATCGTTCACATACTGTCATACTCTCTTACGGACAATCATACGTCTCACAGATCTAACAGGGGGGAGTACATCAGAGTGTGATTTGTAAGTCATATACGACCTCCCTTAAGAAATACTTTCCCATTACTTAGGCTACATACAACAAAGCTTACCTGGGAGGATTCCGAAGTGTTTTTTCTTTCATGTACTTGGCAACACACGTCCGACATTCTACACGCCCTCGATACGGCTGTGCAAACTGAAAATGCTTAGTGTCTAAAAAATATATATATATATACACACAATACTTGTTACAATGTCAACTATATCCAATTAATTATCTGAAACAAATATTACAACCCGCAAGCGTATACCATCGTTTTAACATGTCTTCTACTAGGAACAACAAGGACCTCCTAGCTGCGTATCTTGGACAACATATGGTGCCTAAGCAAAAATGATTAACTTGTGGTGAAATTTTAAAAAATAGTTATTGTGATTTTAAATTTAGAGTTAATCTGTATTATGTGAAGTTCAAATAGACTCATATTTGTGGACAAAAGTGTAATATTAATTTCAGGCAGTATACAAAGGACCACGTTAAATCGTGAGCCAAAAAAATGGCGTTGGTATGTTGCAGGCGTAATAATGAAACTTTTTTTTTTTTTAATTCAGCATTTTATTTAAATTGAATGTGTATGTCGGTAAGTTTATTTGGTTAAAATACAGTAGGTGGCCATTTTCCAAATTTATGTTTTAAATATACCTGTATATTGCAACTTAGTTCTTTATAAATCGATCATTGTGGCGAAATGTAGCTTTCTCAGTCCGCGAATTCTGAACGATACCATAATGTGTGTTAGCGTAGATGGGTTTTTACCAGTACAGTCGGCCTCTTTTAAGATCAAACGTGATTTAACTTTAATCACGAGTTCTGCGCGATTATCCATGGTAAACTGTACTCTGATAAAAGGCGTGTGTCCTGCCTGACGTTGGGCATTCCAGGTCCAGAATCTACAAATCCAGACCAAGATTTTGTTTCTACCCACCAGTTCAGTACTCTGTGACTTTGACTCCTTATGCTCAGCTGGCTGGTAGAAATAAATTCTTGGTCTGGATTTGTAGCCTCTGGACCTGAAATGCCCAACACAGTGTGAGTGTGTGTGTGGTCCAGGTATACATTTCATCGTGGGGACCAAATGTCCCCACAGTCCCACAATGTGATAATAATCTTGGGTTTTCATCACATTAAACCTTGGGTACTTGGATTAGCAGTTCCAAGATTATACTCTTGTTATTGAAAAATATATTTTAAAAATATTACTTGCCAACAGAGTTTTTTTCAGAGTAATAGTATGCTTAGTCGGTTCTACTGAACCAGTATCAGAATGTATTCACTGATGAGACTTCAATGTACAGCGGTATCTCACACCTTGAATTTCGTTCAGAACTCAGGTTTGAATCCTAAAAAGTTCGAGTTCTGATCGAATTTTTCCCATAAGAAATAATGGAAAACCAATTAATTGGTTCCCGGCCCCAAAAAAATTACACTTAAATATGTTTTTTTTTCCAGCATTTAAACACAAAATGAACAGGATAAAACAAGAAGAGCATATACTGTACTAAACACATCTAAGCACATTTATCAAAACAGTAATTTGTAAAGTAAGAAAGTAAATGTATTCAAACAATGTGTAAAGTTAAAAACACTGCGCGCCAACACTGTACGCCATGTGTAACATTTTTTTCTTAATGGCTTCCAAAACGATAAAGAATGTACCCCAACAAACGATGCTATCACAGCGAATGCGAGGCTGAGACTGAAGCGTTACCCTTTGTTTGTTCCCGACCACTTAAGTTTGTAACACTCATCATTAAACCCATAAAGTCTGTCTGCTACCTTAAAATCTCCTTTGATTAAGTGTTTGAGAAAATGTTTAGGTTAGAATCTGGGCTTAGTCTATGTTGATTGATGGTGCCAATGTTTGTGTTCATGCACTGGGCTTGTTGGGACCAGTGTTATTACCTTAAATGAAAACTGAAACGAAAAAACCTAACATTCATTTACCTAAAATACGTATAGGACTTTAAACATAAAAATGTACCGCCACATCACCAATGTCTATTTCACTTTGTTTAACCACAGTATCTCCTCTTTTAAAATATGTTACAGCTGCTGAGCTGTTCCTTTCTCCACCGCAACTTCAGTGCTTATCGCTTCCAAGGTATACCAAAACAGTAGCATGTGCCATGTCTTGGTAATGGAATTTTAAAAGCGTGAGGATACATTGAATTTGTACAGATTGCTAACTTTTGGGCATCACAGTATAGCTCAGATTAATAGTTTAGGCTTATGAAATTGTGGGCATAAGTAAAAACATCCGTATTGTACTGAAAATCTGGTGTCTGTTATCTAAAGCCCTACATACAATATGACATACAGCCCCCCCCCCCCTTGAACCAGCATTCATCACCATTATGTTATAAATACTTTGACACCAACAAAAAAATTGTGAAATGTAAACAATTTTTTTTCAAAGTTTACTTTTACTACTATTTTCAAAAATATAAATATTAAGAACAATAAAACAGAACAATTAAAACATAAATAATGATTAAATAACTTTAAATAAAAGAACAAACAACCCTGAAAATTGTGCTCATCTAACAAGCAGCCAGTGTTCACAGTATAATGTAATAATGTGACACAATATAAACAATAAAAATATCAAATAACTTTTAAAATATTAATATACTACAAAATACAGTATCTTAACATCAGAAAGTTCCCTTATGAAACTAAATCCACATTATAAACTCAATGCCCATCAACACCCTTTGAGCACTGATTCTACCAATTCTGCTTATGGGCGTGTTCAAATGCTGTTATGATGTCCTCCAGATCTAAAGACACATCACACTTTACTGAAATAAAAGCTAGCCTTAAGACTGTAGCATCAACTTCACCCTTTATGCTGGTTACATTGCATATTCGCATCCAGTCACCACATCTTAACCCTAGATAGGTGTGGCCGTTAGTTTGTTGTAATCCCAATTTCAATTAAACATCTGGAAATGACATATTATGGTTGGTGTGGCTCGTTCCAATGATCTGCTCTCCAGGTTTGATAATATAGACATTGAGTCAGTCTTTTAACACAGAATAGTAGAAGACAAAGAAGTGCTGAGCTGACAGCACAAACATCAGATAAAGGCCGACAATGCTACCAAATGCTTAGAAAATGTATGTAAACTTTTGACTTTGAAGAAAGTAATAAAAAATTCTCTAAATTTCTCTGATTATTCTGACATTTAGTAAATAGAAATTATTTTGGTAATCCTAACTGACCTAATACAGGAAAGGTTTGTCTGATAATGTCAGACAGTAAGAAAATAAAGGTTATGTCTTTTTATTCTATGCTGTGTTTATTCTATGGTGTTTAGTAAGAATCGACCAATATTGGTTTTTCAGGGCCAATGCCAATACTGATTAATTCTAGTTAATGATTACCGATAGCCGATATTTGGAACCGATATATATATATATATATATTTACAGTAAAAATGAAAATCTCTGAAAACTCCAACACAAAATATTACTTTTCTTTTTTACATGAAATTTAAATAAAATATAAATAGCAAAAGTACTAACAAATAAATAAAAACAATAATTATAAACCAGAAGGGCCAAAACATGGGAACTTGCACCTATACAAAAATAGATTAACTTGGATTTTAATGTTAAAACAAAATTAGCAGCATGACTTTGTAATGAAAGTAACAAAATGTAATGAAAGTAATGAAAATGTATATTTTAGTACTCATAATTAAGCAGCAGCAGGTTGTGGTGGAGGAAGCAGAGCTGCTCAGCGTGCTCTCCACTTAACCTATATCTCCTCTCAAAAATACTTGAGATTTCGCTGAATACTCGCTCACTTGGAACAGTCGAGGGTGGTGAGCCAAGACGCTTAAAGCATGCTTCATTCTGTCTCCACAATTGCAATGGATCCCCCTTACACCGGCCAATCACTGGCTCCTTTAGGTACAAATGTAATTCATCCTCACGGCAGATATAACAGGTTTCGCTGTTATTCCTCCTCCTGAAGTCCATCCTACCTGGGCAGGTCTGTACCATGTTTAGGCTGCTAGACAGGGAACGACTTGTTCATATGGCTTGAACATGGAGGTTTTAGGCACTGGGTGTGGGGGACTCAGTCCTCCCCAGGCTTAACCCCACCTAACCCCTATAAGGCGGAGGTAGAGCCCCGTCCGCTACTTATGGAGCGCTTCATCTTTGAACGTGACTGTTTCACGGTGTTTCGTGTGTATGCAGCTGATTAATAAGGGCAATTTTTTGCATGTTGGTGAAAGTAGGGGTGGACAAGTATTTTGAAAAATTTCATAAGCCCTGGTAGTTCTATTGTTGACACTTGGTTATTACAGGTACTAACAATGCATGCACATCCCACTGCATGCTCACATTATCACTTCAACAAGGTTTGTTATTCTGACATTTCAGCGCTATAACTGGGAAGGCTTTTCATTATGGAAACGTTTGTTCCTCAGGCACAGAAGAAGAGACTGTAGCAGAGTTGCATTAGCACACTTTGTAATAATATCGGTTATCGATAAAATAAAACGCAGGTATCAATAATCGGCAAAATCCTAATATCGGCCACTTAGTTAATTTAGTTATTTAGTTAAGTCTTTGTGGTTTTTCTTCCTCTGTTGATTTTCTGCTCCCTTGTGGTCCTTTTGTCTTGTAGTTTTACCCAGTGTGTTCAGTTTCCCCAGTAAACCCCTGTTGTCTCTTGGAACCGCAAGTGGATCGTCAAATTTTCCCCATCTGCACCATGCCCCGAGTCTGTAACAATGTTGTGTATGCATGCGTGGAGGTGGTGCACATGCGTAGTACCGGGAGTAACATTTTCAGTAGGTGACAAATGTTTGATAGTGACAGGGACTCCTACCTGCAGCAGATACATGCTATGAGCAGTTTGTGATGGGTAGCACAGTTTGAGTTCAAACATCGTGGTACCCAACCCTAATTAGGGATGCTACTTATCAAAGTATAGTTATTATTTTTCCCCTCAAAAGTGGGAGTGATGATTAGGACCTCTATACAACTGTGAGCGATATGCCCCCCCCCTTGCGATCCCTGGCTGTGGTTCCCTTTTACAGCCCTATTGCGCTACCATTTACCTGATGAATACTGATGCTGCTGTACTTGTTTTGTACACTTTCCAAAAAAAACAAAAAAAAACATTACTTGACAATCACAGTTAAACGCTAATGAAACACACGCATTCCACAGCAAACATTACCAGTTATGACATTTACAAGTAACATAATTATACGCCATTTAACAGTGGGTGGGATCACCGCTCATACAACGTTGTATTGCTGAAACGACATTGATTACGTTTGAGGTATGTGGCTGCCTTTAGCGAAGAGGCTGATAATTTGCGCCATCTGCTGTTGGATAACATTTAAATTTTACCTCTCGAAAATAAGATGACCCCAGTTTTTTTAATTTATTTGACCCATAGACATCAGAAAAGGGTGCGGCCAAAACAACAAGCAGAACCCCAAAACCTAAATGAAAGAAAATAAGCAGCTAACTAACCTATTTCCAAAATAAACATGGAAAGAAAAGAAAACAGACCTACTACTACCTCCCTAACTAACCAAAACACAGCCACAAAAATCACACCCTTTTTATAAACAAAAAAGACCCCCTTTTCCTACAGGGTCTATCCCTGGAACATATAACTGTGTGCTAATCATAACAAAGTTCTTCTACCTTAGAGCTTAACACAATATAAACAACCAAGTAGGAGTACGAACAGCAACAGTATGTCCACTAGGGCCAAAGACCAACAAACAGCATCACACAGGTCAAACACAGAGCCCTCCCCCACTCCCCTCCGAGATCTTCACTTCCTCTTCCTTATATCTTCTGGCACCCCCCCTACAGGCCAATTGGACAATAGCACCATCCACAGGCCCTGGGGTAGAGAGAGAGACAGCATAAAAGGTGCATACACAGAGGCTGTCACATATGTGTTGAGACTATATAAACCATTTGAAATCTGGGGAGTAAAGTTTCCCTTATATGACTTGGATTGAGCAGGTTATGAAATATATCCGAACATGGAAAGGAAACAAGAAAGGGATACATACTAATTAATACTTATGATTTTTAGAAATTTTATTTTCTTCTTATTGGATAAAGGAATGGCCTGGTTGTGTCCTTTCATCCTGTCATTCATTGGCATGTTAGTACTGAACTGAACTGAGGACTGAAGGTTCCTTCACTTATTTGCATCAAAATTTAGGTTGGTGACAAATGAGTTCTCAGCCTATTCTCACATTAATATTATATTAGTAATAAGATTCTGTGATTCAGTTTACACATTCCTTTCTGATCAATACTGAACCCCACCCATGTAATCCATCCCTCTGTCTGAATTTTCTGGGAACAGTAGTTACAGTTATCAACTGAAAACCATATTTTTGCAGTGAAATTAAACAAAAGTGAACATTAAAACAATAATATTTAGTTTACTACAGATGAATCACTGATTTCCAGTACGGCGCTGTCCAACTGGTTTATGTCTTCAGGTTTATGTTTCCAGTAGAATATTTGACAGTCAGTGGCTCAAAATCCAAACATCTAATTTCCCATCACCCAAGGCAAATGGAGAATGCTTCTATTATAGTTAGGTTAATCCTTCTAGACCTTCTTTGTGGGTTGTTGTGTCTGAAAGAGAGACACGGGATCAAACTGCAAACTAGCTCACATTATTATAGATTTTGTTCTCTTATCATTTGTGACATGCATATATATAAGAACAAGAAAAAATATTACATATTTTCCAAACTAGTGTTATGTGTTTATAAATGGAAAGCTATCCAGAGGAAGTAGGGGGTGCATTTCAGTAACGGAGAGGGAGGGAGATGTGGGAAGTATTCAACAACTGCTTCTACAGTAAGTCTGTAACAAGCCACTACTGTGTGTGCACTCTCCAACACACAAACAAGAAGTTGAACCCATTGAGAAAGGAGCAAGCTCCATGTTTCCATATCACCGATCCCCCTCCCCACAACCTGTTGGAAGAATAAGGATGTGGACTCTTGCATTTGCTGTCACATTTGAGTTTTTGGCATTCTCCAAGTCAGACCCAGTTCCCGGTGAGTGACCATACCTGTGCGTAGATCTCCATTTGATCTTCTCAACCTTAAAAGAATTTCATTGTTCACATATATTGTTTTGCAAGTGTGTGTCTTTGCTGGAATTGGTCGGTGTTGTTGGGAGGTAGAGTATTGTCTACGTGATGGATGAAAGCTAGTAAAGCTAGTAACGTGTTTATGAAGACTGTCTGTGCTTTCGTAGATGAGATGATGGGGTGGTTTAGGCATCTATAGCAGAATACACTGTAATCTCCCTTTACAGAGAAGTGAAAAACAGAAGATATTCATATGAACAAAATTTATAGAGGGGACAACAAAATTTTAAATGAAGTACTTTCCAGTAATTCTTCAGAACTGTTAATGAGCTTTTTATGGTCTAGCAAAGATTAAAAGATCTGCCTATGGATTTTGGAGCAAGCAAAATTCTTGCAAACTTTGGCATCTAGTGCTTTGCAACTTTTGCTGGAATAAACAGGTTTGGATTTGCCTTATTGTGTTGACATGTGCTGCAACTCATTGACAGATTTAGTGGTCATTTTATGAAATCTTCCTGCGTCCAGTGGGTGTGACATTCTATTCATGCCTGAAAACGGATGGGTAGTACCCAGAGTGAGATACTGTGTGACCTGTAGACTCTGTTGACTGGTAAGATATGTGTGGCATTCACTGCTCATTTGAGCTTTTCGCTTTAAAATCCTACAGCTTATGCTTAGTGAAAGAACATTAATTGCATTCCAATGCCAAGAGATTTTGATATTTGGACCACATTAAAAACATGGTCTCTTCAACAGACCAGAAATATTGTTTTCGAAGTGAACATTCTTTTGTTTGTGGCTCATGTACACCTGTCTAGTAGAGGCTAAGATCTCCATTTGACTATAGAACAGCTTTAATTCTTAAAGACATGTATTCCACAAGGTGCTGGAAGCTTTCCATTTGAAGTTTGGTTGCATCCTGCTTAATAAGTGTGGTCATTCGCCTCTGATTGCTATCTTTAAGAAGATGTTTCTATCCGCAGAACTGACTGGATTGGCACAAACAACCATAACAAATTAAAAATCACATAGATCACATATATTTTGAGCAGCCTAAAGCTCTGTTGAGCTTTGTTGAGTAACTGAACCTCTTGACCCTGTCTGCTGGCTTTATGCACTGAATAACTGCCACATGATTCATTGTTTGTAGGAGCAGGCCGTCGGCACTAACAAGCTCCTGTAATTAACAAAGTATTTATTGAACTACTAATTTTAATTAGCTTATTAATTTTATTTTAATTTTATTGAAATATACAACAATTGCTATTAACATGCAGGTAAATGAAAAGTTTTTAAATCCAACCTCGGATTTTCAGTCTTCTTGTTACAAATACAATTCTCTGACCATTCCTCAAGCATTTTCTATTTATTCCTTAACCATGGGTATTTGGGGAATGTACGAGACATAAAGCAACCATTTTCGAATTTAGATAGCAATTAAAATGTGAATGGTGTCATATTTTATTTTTTCTCTGTGACAGTACATGGATCATGGCCATGGAACTCAACTGAAATAACACATAAAAACAAAAAGTTATAAGACTGGGTTTTATGACAAAAACAGGGTCAGTGATATAATGCTTATGTTTATAAAATAAGTGTAAAGGACTGTGTCGTGGGTTGAAGGACAAAGGACTGGACTGGAGAACACAGGACTGGGAAGCACTTAAATACATAACTAACAAGGGTGCAAACAAGAGGCAGCTGAGCATGATTAAGGCGAGGGTTGAGAATGGGAGGAAAGACAGTAAGTAACAGGCGTGGCTCATTAGTGTCATGCTACATTGTAAAAAAAATCTGTAAAAAAAAAAATGGATCACGTCCTGCCAGAAAATTGCCACTACCTTTTCTGTTAAATTTACAGACATTTCCTTTAATCCTAAAATGGAAATTTCCATAGGTTCATAGTATATCCTCTGTACCATTCATGGACAGTTCTGTTAATCAAAGACAAATGATTTTGTTGATTCACAGTTTATCCTATGTACCATTCATGGACATTTCCTTTCATTCCAAATTGGAGAATTACATAGACTCACACTATATCCTCTGTACAACTGACCCATTTGTCAATCCTAAAGCGGAAATGTCTGTAAAATTACACTATATCCTCAGTAGTGGCCAAGAATTTCTTCACTACTGACAATTGTAATCAACTACAAAGCAACATGCACACCAAATTCAGATGTAAAAATACTAAATAATAAACTCATAAGATTTTGAGTCTGAGCATATTTTGTAACAGTACTGAATTTACTTCAAAGGATCTGAATACTCATCTCACCATTTTAGCAGTTAGAGGGGAACAGTAGAGTTTGGCTGGAAATTGCAGATCAAAAGTTAAAATAGCCTGGGACCGGAAGGTTAATGCCAAAGTAATCTATTGAAGATCACAGTTATATAAACTTTAGATTATACATATTTATGTGTAATACATAAACAACTACAGTCTACTACAACTACAAAAAGGTCAAGCTGCCCATTCCTCTCATTTTGGTTGAACATAGGTCAATCACATGATGCTGATCAAACTTCAGCTGGATTTAAATATGCTTGAGGCAATTAAGGCAAGATGTGTTTTTGTGGATTTTGTGCCTTCCTTCATTCAAATAAATGAAGGCTTAAGCTTTTTTCATGTTGGTGCATCTGCAGCTTTACTCTGTCAGTTATACAGACATGATGTAGGACATGAGAAACAGGGACGTGCACAAGGCAGGGCTAAGGTTGCCCGGGCAACTGCCCGCCTGCTCTATTTGACTCAAGCTGCCCCTCCTAGAAAAAAATATTATATATATTCTGTTGCGAGCTTTCGCCACGCAAAGAGGAAGAAAGAACTGTGGTAGACTGTCGTGCCCTGTGATAGACTGTGATGGACTGATCCAAACTTTTCCTAGCTTTGTGACCTGTGATTCCTGTATTAGATATGCAGTTATGGAGATGAATGGATTATTTTTTTAATGGTTCTGTAAAGTGCCTATGTGATCTAATCCTGTTTGAATTAAATTCAAAGCTAAAGACAGGAAAATAAGCACAAAACTAAAAATAGGAAGCAATTAGTATGGATGGAAGTGAATGTTCATTCTTATGCTGTCTCTACAGAACTGTCTCGGGGATGCAGCTTCATGGGGGTGTTCCACGTGGAAGGGAGGGACCGCTACTCGTTGACTTTCGAACAGGCCGAGCAGCTGTGTCTTCACCTCAGCGCGACATTGCCTGACAAGGAGCAGGTCATTAAGGCTTATAAAGCAGGCATGGAGACGTGCAGGTGAGCCTGGGAGGCTCTGACTTTGTACAATTACCATAGTAGGACTGTATGGAAGCTTATGAGATATCACTGTGCTTTCATGTGTCCGGAGTTGGGGGTTAAAATCTCTCTACCATTCGTGTGCATGTGTGTGTGAGAGAGTTTACATGTTCTATGTTCATTTTCTTAGGGTTTCCACCTACAGTCTAAAACAGGGTTCTTCAACTCTGGACCTCGATTCCAAATCCAGGCCGTGTTTTCAGTTCTCCCAGGTAGTTGTTTAATAATTACTGCTTCTGATTGGTCAGAGGCTTCACACCTGACTGACAGGTAAAGGAAGGCTGGAAAACCAGCAGTGCTCGGACCTCGAGGACCGTGAGTTGAATAACCCTGGTCTAAAAGCATGCAGTTAATCTAATTGGCACTTCTAAATTGCCCACAGTGCCTGTATGAGCGTTTGCCCTGTGGCAGACCTTCATCCCATCCTGCGTGTGCCCCTGCCTAACACCCTAACCAAGACGTTGTAGTAATTATGCGGTAATGATGTACGAATATAAAGCATTTATGTTGTCTGAGAACACCATAACTAAGACAGGAGGTTAGCGTATCAGCAGGACACATTGCAGAAGATTTAGAATGAGAGGAAGGATTAAAACAAAGCACATGTACTGAAACACATAATTTGGGGGCCAAGCACCATAGGTGCGTAGTTAAATCTTGTTTCTGTCTTGCCAATCTGGTTTTGTTTTTATCTAGGGCAAATCACATGGCACAAATGAAGAAGTCATCTGTGAGCAAACTTTAAATGTCTGAACTAACCATATTAGTTATTATGACAAAAAAACTATTACTAGGAAGATCTAGTTGTTGTGTAATGCATTTTCATAAAAGAGGAATGCATCTATTGCATTACTGGATCAGATGTGATGGTAATACTTTACGTTAACTGTACCTTCATAATGTATTTATAATGCATTCATACAACATCAGCAGCATAAGTAAACTTTAACATCCTAACATATCATAACAGCTTTGATATACATTAATAACAAACTTAATAATTATCAGGGCTGCAATTAAAGATTATTTTGGTAGTCTACTAATCTGTCAGTTGTTTTTTTATTTATTTTTTGATAAGTGGATTAGTGAACAATTTTCTGTCACGCCCTCCATCTCTGCTGCCTGTGGGCGTGGCTCCTTTTCTAGGCTCCAATGCATATTTTACCTGACCTGCTGAAGTCTGCACACCTGTGAATGTCACCCTGTCCAATCTCTGCCTTAACACAACATGACATGATATGACATGACATGATATAACATAACATGTTCCCACAGCAAATTAAAATAATGACCCATGAAATTTGTGAATTTGAAACATAAGCTTGATAGCTTATTGAAATGTATTTGTAACATGTGATCAGAATAAAAATTAAACAAAATGAAATTAATTAAATTTTACAGATTAAAGTGCAAGTAGTCTTTTGAACAAAAAGTGTCATGGATCCGGGCAGCTCAGGTACGGCAACTAGGCATAGTGCAGGAAAAGGGTGGGCGACCCGCTAGGGCTCCAGGAACCAAAAGGGGTTTATTAAATAAAACAGAAAAACACAACAAAAGCAAAAAGGACCACGAGGGGTCAAAAACTAAAGGGAATAAACTAAGACTACAAATCACAAATAAACAAACTGGGCAGGTAAACATAAGACAGATCTAACTTCAAACTACCAAAGCTTAGACAAGCAACAATACACACAATGAACCACTGGGGAACTGAACAGAAGCAGAAACTAAAATACTAAGGGGTAACGAGACTAACACAGGACAGGTGAGGCTAATTAACAAAACCAAGGAAACAGGGCACAGGTGAATCTAATGAACTCAAAGGAACTAAAAATAGGGAATCTAAGAACTTACCAAGGACACAGGGAAACAGAAACCAACACTAGGGACTTAAACAGGTAAAGACACAAGCAGGGGCACAAGGAACAAAATCAAACCCAACTACAAAATCAGACACAAGAACTAAAGAAACTAAAATGAAACACTAGGGAGCAAAATACAAAAACAGGAGGCAGGATTCAAACACAGAACAGAAGGGTACTCAGGCCAGAAGGGCACACAGACAACCACATGCTCAACACATTGAGCCACATGACCAGACAGGTAACAGAGGAGAACAAAGACTAACATGAAGGACGGGATGACCAGCGACACCTGCTGGTCAAACGGGGAAGGGACACGGTAGGACCACAGTAGGGGCTGACCCTGACAAAAAGAGTATATGTAAATAAGTAACTAAAATAGCAGCCTGTAAACCTGCCTTGCAGGTTGTGCAAGTTATGACTCTGTGGGACCTAAACAAACTAAAGAATAACTTTGCTTAAAGTGACATTTAAGTCCATAAAAGTAAAAAAAAAAATCCACCCTATTTGAAATCGTGTTGGGTGTGGAAGTCCTAAAGTTCAAATAAGGCTTCAAATGTACATAAAAAGAATTGACTATTAACAGTAGTTTGCAATCATTTTAAATTGCAGTGTAGGAATGTGAGGCTGGCTCTCTTCTTTGAGGTGATGTTCCTAGCTGCTTAAAAGAGACACTCAAAGGGAGTAGAAGTAGCAGGAATATACGAAAATGATTTGGCTAATGATGCAACAGTTAGAAACTTTACCTCAATCAACCTCCACCAAGACAGGGGACTTTCTCATTGAGATGGGCTGCTCTCCGAAGAACATCAGCACCTGACATGGAATAACAGATAGAAAATGCCTGCTGGCTAAATCTGGCATGTTCAGTTTGATTTTAAATGTTTATTAATATGCACTGTTCCTATTTACATAAGTAAATCTTAGTTCATTAGTGATCACTTGGTTGTGCACATCCTGTTCATTGCTTACAGCATCCTGTCATTGTCTGTTGAGTCACATCGAAACAGTGAATCTACAGCTGAAACAGAGCTGTTTGGAGTTCTTCATTCCCGCCGCAGCGCTGGTTATTCACAGTAGTACTCCCATCCATGGACTGTAAGGCCAGAGCTTGTACTTTATTCTGAACACTGAACCTCTCCTCTGGTGTCAGGAATTTCAGTTTTTCAAAATCATGGATCTAGTACAGCTTCAAAGATCTGTTTGCTTGGGTTATCATGTGTGACGGTGACCCCTCTTGACCAGCATGCAGTGATCCCCTCTGAAGCAGCTATCTGGAGGGCCTGCTTAGGAACACTCTGACCAGAGGAGCCAGGGCAGAGACTGTCACATAACTTTCACCACTCAAGTGGACAGTGGGACATTCAAAGGCCTGGAGAGCTTTTGCCAGTTCTAATAGGCTCCACTGATCAGCTTTGAAATCTAGGCATTGCTTGCTTCTCTGTGTTACTATTGGATCAGACAGAGCTGCAGTCATAGTGTTTGCTTAGCAATCATCATCCATGACGAGACCTTGTTTTCTGTCAGGTAAACTAACAAACATTACAATACTCTAAAATTATTTTTTATTTATTTTTATTTATTTTCGATTAAATGCTCCCATACTTTTGAAGGTTTCAGTCTTGCCCTTTTGCTTCTTCTTCACCCTGACTTTCTCTCCATTTTGCCGTTATTCTTATGTTCTTCTTCATTAGTACTGAATGTTGACATGACAAACAATGGAAGCGATACTGCCCCCAGAATGTCCTGTATTGCATTGCAGTTACAAATGAATTACGTGGTTTTATAATACAAAGCATATACACTAAAATTCCACGTCAACAAATTTTTATAATCAACATTGTCTATTATGTCAACTAATTGTTGCAGCCCTACTTTATATTATTATAATGTTTGATCATATCATATCATGTTTGTTATTAATGTATGTTAAGCTGTTATGGTATGTTAGCTATACTTAATGCTGCTTATGAATGTTCCAAAAATGCATTATGAAGGTGACATGTTCTACAAATGCATTATAAATGCACTATGATGGTGCAGTTAATGTAAAGCAATACTGACATGATCATATGATCAGTTTGTTTAGGTTGTTCATAGATCTTGCCAAATAAATAAACTTATATGCAGGTGACGGAGAAAGTATAATAACGAAAATGCTAAAGATAAATTAACCTAATTGAATTTGTAGTTAATGTTGACAACAAAAGTATATCCATCCATCTTGTTTATCCTGTAAATGGTTTTACAGGGGGATGCACTGGCTAGGATGCCAGTCTATTGCAGGGCAGGCACACGGACACGCTGCTGTGCCCTATGGACAATTCATGCCATCCAGGAATATACCTCACCTGTATACCATTCTTTCACAGATATGGCTGGATAGACAACAGGACTGTCGTGATCCTTAGACACACATCGCATTCAAACTGTGCATCCAATCTGACTGGAGCCATTTTTTATGATGAAGTATCAGATATGCAGTATGATGCGTATTGCTATAACAAGTCAGGTATGAGAGCTTTCTATCTCACTACAAAGTGGAATTTGGTACCACAATATCTACTGTAATTTTAGAGCCAGGGAAGTGTAATGGATTTAGCTAATAATTAAAGTGCAATAATAATCAGAGAAAAAATGTTCTCTTGTATTTGTACTCCACATTCAGGTGTGGAAATCTTCCTACATCGATATGGGCTGATAGAATACATTCAGCACACTGCCTATATGCTGTATATTTACTGTATGATTCCATTGTTTCCTCAAGTATAGAGCTTTGTGTTTTATGTACATTTATTATAAATCTTTCTCTAGCACAAACAATGACTCTCTGATTTTTCTGGCAGATTTGTTAAAGAAAAATTGTGATTTGGTGGTTCGTCCCTTAAAACCAGAGAGCAGCTCTACAATTCCAGATCACAGTTTAACCACAGGTCAGTAGATGTATAAATCACAATTATGTTTACTTGTTAATTTCAATAAGATTGTGTTTAAGTCTTTTATTGCAATATGTGGATATATTATTTTGGCTACTATGCAGTACTATTCCAAGAGCAAATCTTTATATAACACAATCTCTGTGAAAAATCAACACATTTTTGCAAACAAAAAAAAAACTTCTTTGCCCAAAATGTTTTTGTTTACTTGTGTGCAGCTTTCTCGGCCCTGTTTCCTGACATACATGGGACAGATCACCTCATAAAGAGCGACAGTGCTGTACCAGAAGGGTACCGCAGGGTTCAATTTTAGCACCACTATTGTTCCTAATTTACATTAATGATATTGACACCAATGCATACAGTAAACTGGTTAAATTTGCAGATACCGAACTAGCAGCACAGATGCTACAACAGGATCTTGACTTAATTAGCAACTGGGCTGATACCTAGCAGATGAAATTTAACGTACATAAATGTAAGGTAATCCATGAAGGGAGCAGAAACAGTACAGATATTTTATGGGTTCCACTGAAATAAAGGTAGCTGATTATGAGAAAGACCTCTGTGTGTATGTTGATGCTTCAAAGTCTCACTCTCACCAGTGTGGGGAAGCAATTAAAAAGGCCAATAGGATGTTGGGTTACATCTCTAGGTATATGGAGTCAAGGGAGGTCATGGTAAGATTATACAATTCCTTGGTAAGACCCGACCTAGAATACTGTGTGCAGGTTTGGTCACCTTACCTTAAAAAGAACATTTCTGCCTTTGAAAGGGTTCAACGTAGGGGTACAAGAATGATTCCTGGTCTTAGAGGAATGTCTTATGAAGAGAGGTTAGCTGAGCTGAATCTATTCAGCCTCAAGCAAAGGAGACTAAGGGGGGACATGATCCAGGTATATAAGTTTCTAACAGGTCTGGATGCTGTTCAGCCAAGTGGCTACTTCAATATTAGTTTAAATACTAGAACTCTTGGCCATAGGTGGAAATTAGTGGGAGAACATTTTAAAATGGATATGAGAGCACTTGTTTACACAGCATGTAGTTAGAGTATGGAATAGTCTTCCTGTTAGTGTAGTGCAAGCTAAAACCCTGGGTTCTTTTAAATCAGAGCTAGATAAAATTTTAACAACTCTGACCTATTAGCCGAGTTCTCGGCAAACGAGCTTGATGGGCCGAATGGCTCCTCTCGTTTGTAAATTTCTTATGTTCTTATGTTCATAGATATTCCTGGAGGCTTGTTCACGTTGGATCAGAATCCTGCCATTGTTTATCCTAGAGGCACTTCAGATCCCAGGCCTGTCAGCTCTGTCACAACAGCCGCTGGGCAGACCATGGAAACCACACCAGGGATCATAGAACCCACAACCCAGTCAAATTCTGGTGAAGCTCCTGACAGACACAAAAAACAGAATTATCCAATCAAAGGCATGACACCTATCTCTCTTCAATTGTTTCTGTATCAATTGACCATAGTGTATTTGTGATTTGAATAAAAATATCTAGTATGTATTTATCGTGTAGTGTAAGGAAAATTACTGTAAAAATAGATAAAAACTATATGGAATGCATCAGTGAAATTTATTGTTCATTGTTTTCATAGTAATCTTGAAATAATGCTAAGATATAGTAGCTGTGCCTGTAGTTTGTTAAATAATGTATAGAATGTCATGTAATAAATATATTGAATATTTAATTGTTTGAGATAAAAGCTACTTTATGGTTTTAAATGGGAGGTATAAATATTTAGCATTTTAAGGGTTCGAGTAGTTTTCTCCTCTTACTTAGAACCAGATTGTCACACTCATAGTTACATTCTTGTATGTTCCAACAGAGTGGGTTATCATCTTGATTGTAATTCTTGCTGTGGCTCTCATCCTCCTTGTGTGTTTCGCTGTCTCGTTTAGGAAGAGGTAGGTGTTCCTCTGCTTCCCATGGTTAACCTACCATTCCCATGGACCGGTGTCACAGTTGTGTAATATTGAAGGCTGCTATGATTAAAAGCTCAGCATCCTGTTAGCAGATCGTGTGATAACTGATTCATGTGATCTTGCAGCTTGTGTGGTAAGCATGCAGTACTGACAATCGCCTCTGAGGAGACGTCTGAGAGCAAGGCTGCCGCGGCAAAAGGTCAGGAGATGGTGACGCTAATAAATGAGGAAGGGGTTCAGAAGAACTGCTCTGCGAAAGAAAGCAAATTCATAACGACCTCCACAAAGAAAGAGCGTGTAGCCTGAGACATGGCAGTAGGATCATGAAGTCCTGTTGTCACCTGGTGTTCATCCGCTACATCAAGACAGCCAAGAGTAATAAACAATCAAATAACCAATTATGTTTGTAAATAGTTAGTAAAAAAAAAAGCTAAAACTTTATGTAATCATTAAGATCTGAAATTAAATATTATATATATAATAACTAGAATATTAGAAGAAATATGTTGGACAACAACTTTTGCAAAGAGTTGTCTTTGTAATATGTCAGATTTATAAATTACACAACTATCCATTTTAAAATGTAATGACTATTGACTATGAATGTACCTGTGCTTGCAAACTACATGTCCTGTGTAAAATACACTGTATTGCCAAACGTATTGGGACACATGCCTTGAACATGCCACACATATGAACTTTAATGACATCCCCTTAATACGTAGGCTTTAATATGGAGTTGGCCACCCTTTGCCACTATAACGGTTTCAACTCTTCTGGGAATGCTGTCCACAAGGTTTAGGAGTGTGTTTATGTGACCATTCTAACAGGAGAGCATTTTGTGAGGTCAGACACTAATGTTGGACGAGAACAACAATGTTGGATGATTCCCTCAAAGTGCAGCAATCCCAGCAATCTCTACAGCAATCGCAGCAGCCTCAGCTCAGACTGGGCAGATGAGGAAGGAACATGTGCTGCTCTGTGATTTTATGTGGCCTACCACTATGTGGATGAGTTGCTGTTGTTCCCAGTTGCTTCCACTTTGTTATAATACCACTAACAGTTGACCGTGGAATATTTACTAGCAAGGAAATTTCATGACATATTGTACAGGTGGCATTCTATCACAGTACCATGCTTGAATTCACTGAGCTCCTGAGAGTGACCTATTCTTTCGCAATGGTTTGTAGAAGCAGTCTGCATGCCTAGGTGCTTGATTTGATATACATCTGTGGCTATGGAAGTGATTGGAACACATGAATTCAATGATTTGGAGGGGTGTCCCAATACTTTTGGCAATATAGTGTACATTTTCATGTGGCACTCATGTGATCTCATGTGTGCCTTCTGTACAAAGCAGAGGACAATATGACCACAGACTACATGATATACTGTATATATTACAGTAAGTATATGTTGAAATGATGATATTCTTTAAAGTTTTGGTAATCAGAAAAATGCTTAATACCCTTCAGAATCTGAAGTTTTAGCATTGGGGTTTTTAATAAAAGATAAATCGTAAAATATGCACCATTTCTATGCATCGTTTTTTTTAAAGGAACCAAATAGCTTTGCAAGGAATGTAACAGGTACAGTACATTTGCACATGGATGGAGTAAGTAACCAGAAGGTTCCATAATGATCTACCTAGTGCTTTTATGTTCATTAAAAATCAATTTGTGAAAATTATGAAAAAGCTCTACTGATGTACACTATATGGACAAAAGTATTGGGGCACCTGACCATTACACCTACAGGAACTTTTATGACACCCCATTCTAAATCCAAAGGCTTCAATATGGAGTTGGTCCCCTCTCTTTAGCTATAACAGTGGCCACTGTTCTGGGAAGGCTTTCCGCAAGATTTTGGAGTGTGCTTGTGGGAATTCTTGCGTTTTCATCAAGAAAAGCGAAGAGCATTTGTGAGGTCAAGCACTGATATTGGATGTGAAGGTCTGGCTCACAATCTCCGTTTTAGTTCATCCTAAAGGCATTTGGTGGGGTTCAAGTCAGAGCTCTGTGCAGGCCACAGCTCATTTCTTTATGGACCTTGCACTGGGGCACAATCATACTGGAACAGAAAATTCAAGTAAATTCGATTCAATTTATTTTTATATAGCGCCTTTCACAACCGAGTCATCCCAAGGCACTTTACATCAATGTGTTGTAATACATCACATCATTAGAGAGAGTAATGCGAAACAGGGAAAAAGAAGGAAAGAAATTAAACAAATAAAACCAGATGACAATGGAGCAGAGGAACCAAAAACTCCGAAGTAAGGAGAAATAAAAACCTCTGGGAGTCCAACATCAACTGGCTGCCCCACCCCCCTGGGCATGGTAACATTAAAGCTAGGTGTACGCTGTGATTAAGGATGAAGACAAAGTCTATCAATGAGTCCGTTGTCCACGTTGGCCTATGTAGGGTAGCCAAAGTGCATAAATAAGTCTGCAATCATTGTTCAATGATGGGAACCCCTGCCGCTAATCCCCTCGGCAGTAGAACAGCTCCGTGAAGCCACCATATTCACCAAGCTGGATCTCCGTAGTGCCTATAACTTGGTGAGAATTCGTAAGGGGTTGAAGACTTCTTTCATCACCAACACAAGCTAATATGAATACAAGGTGATGCCGTATGGGTTGGCTAACAGCCCCTCTATAATCCAAGCCTTCATGTACACTGTTTTCCGGGACATGGTCAACTGGTTCATGGTGGTGTACATTGATGATCTTGATCTTGATTTACTCCCCGTCCTTCTCTCAACATGTCAACCATGTATGATAGGTTCTCCATAGACTCCGAGAGTATCACCTCTTTTCAAAAGGGGAGAAATGTGAGTTCCACCATATCCAAGTGCAGTTCCTGGGTTACATCATTCAGCCTGGAGAGGTTTCTATGGACAAGAGAAAGGTGGCAGCCATTCAACAATGGCCACCTCCCCGCACCATCAAGGAGCTACAACGATTTTTGCGGTTTGCTAACTTCTACTAACGTTTCATCCGCAATTTTAGTCAAGTCGCTGCACCCCTCACATCGTTCACTCGAGGATCTGGATCCCGCCTAGTATGGACTCCAGAGGCTGACTGAGCCTTCTGCTCTGTCCCCGTGCTCCAACAACCTTGCCCTGAGAACCCCTTTGAGGTCGGGGTGGATGCCTCAGAGGCCAGAGTCGGAGCCAAACTCCTCCAGCGGAACCAGGTAACCGGTCACCGACATCTGTGCGCTTTCTTTTCAAAAAAATTGTCCCCGACAGAACGCAAGGGTTAAAGGTTATCCCAAAAACCTGCATACACACCGGCCCTTTACGGATAAGATTGCCCAAATTCTACTCAATTTTACAATTTTACAACAGCAGATGGCGTAGTTGTTTCCTATAATCTGAACCTTTTTGAAATATGTTACACTTGCAGTGGTTATTTCTTTTCAGGATCAAGATACCTGGCAGATATTTCATATATACCTATTGACTCCGTCCATATTTTTGTTCTGTCACAATGAAATTTGAATGCATAGGAAGATTCAATACTACAGTCAATACTTTGTACAGACCTTATTGAGAAACTCTTTGACATGTTTGTATGTATTTTTCATTTCAAAATTTTGGAATTAGTCAATTCTTACATATTATTTGGCCTGGCTGTTGCAGTGAGAGCAACAGTAGATGGCAATATTCAGGTTACATGACAGATTTTTCCCAATATTTTGAAGTTCCATGGGCAGCTTACCTCACTTGACATTATGATCTGATGTACTGTTTTACAAAACCTCAGCAAAATATATTCATTCCTGCACTGGAACATAGGTGGTGAACATTTTGTGTATGTTGTACCATAAATTTCCCTGGCCCAGTCTGGACCACTAGTGATGCATTCCGAAGGGACTTGTGAATGGTTTCTTAGGTTTAAAGTTATTGTATTTAATTTTTTATATAGTGTTTCAATATGTCTATTATATTCCATGAAAATGGTTTATAAATGGTTAATATTATTCTTTGTATATCCACCATGTGTTGCGTGTAAAATTGAATCTAACTGGTGTTTAGAAAGACCTGATTAGGCTTTTACAAGAATAAACAGGATTACCTTTACACAAGAAGAAAACATACTAAAGAACAGATATCAGTGAATAATGTAACTGCAGTAAAATATTAACCGACAGGGATCAAAACCTGATGTTAACAATTCAAAGGAACATGATGAAAAAATGTATTCTGTTAATATTTTGTTAAATATTAATTGTATGTAAGTGCTTATTTTAATATTAGTCAGATACTCATATATTAATCTGGTACTTAAGAATTCCATGCTATATTCTGTTTGTTTTCTGTGGCAGTTTTTATGGCAGTTTTTGTGGCAGTGTTTACTACCATTCAAATAATGCATTTTTGTGGGGCCCTTGAGTCTTGGGGACCCCCTGCTGGCTCCATGCAAGGGTCTTTTTGAATAGAGGTTCAGAAACAACAAACCCACCGCTAACTGTAGGGTTTATATGCATTCAAATAAATGATTATTAAATGCATTATGTACAACATATGGTTCATGACAAATTATACATTA